CTAAAATCCCTAATGCATGTGTGGTCCATTTAAAAGTAGGTATGCATAAGGAATTGTACATCAATGTCATTTCTTAAAAGAAGCTCTGTATATTTTTCTGTATTAGTCCCTGTAAGACTAATGGCCGTTTGCACCGACACATTTAAGCAGAGCTTAGCTTAAAATCCATGGAAATCATTGTTGCCATGGATTTTCTCTGCTTAAATTTGTTGGTGCAAACAGCCATAAACAAGACAAATTACACTTTCAGCTTTTATCAAATACCTCTTCCACAATTACACAATATATGTTACATACCTCCTTTTCGGCAATAATTTCCTGTAACTTTTTCCTAGATTTTTGTTTTACTTCCGTGGCAATAATTGCACCGTCTTCTGCCTTCTTTTCTTCTTCTTCGTCTTCCCAGTTGTCCTGTGACAAAATTGTAAATATATACCGATATCTCACTACTGAAACTTAGGTGTAGGAGTTAAAATTTAAGGATAGGCAATATGTAAATTAAACATGACACATAAGGCTAGGAAAAATTAAAGTCCAGCTTAGATGACTGGTTCTAAATTATGATACACTTGGAACATTAGGCTAGATTCGAACTTACTTTAACATCATCGTCCTCATCCTCACCTTCCCATTGGTTAGATGCGACACCATCCTTTCCACCCCGAGGCACAAATTCATTTTCTAAAAAGTATACTTAGATAAAGAAACTAAATGAGGTACGTTCAATTAATAAAATACCCCAATCTTCCATAGTGCTGGGAATAATATTGCGACAATCTGCTCTAAACCTTCACGTGTACCCCTGAAAAGAAAATGGTTAGATTGGAAATAAATTGCCACAAGATGACACCACCACTTACCTCTTATGTGTACTTTTACGTAATCCTAATCAACTATTAATCAGTTGCACGTGTAATACGGACCTTTATTCACCGATAAATGATAATTAAAACGAATAATAGCTTGCGTTGAACATATTAAGGCGATATTCATTACTTCCATTTCAATCTTAAACTTTGACAAAAATTTCTCTAGATTTCACAATGGAACATTTCCATTTCACACTAGCCAATACACCAATAGAACAAAGCGAAAGTCACTAGATATCGCAATTTACCATCGAGCTCAGGAGTGTGGAACATTGGCTCAATCTTTAAGATTGTTGCTGAACAAATATTTCATCCATTCCATGTAAATTTAATTAAAACCTGTCACTACCAACTTCAAAAAAACACTATCGCATTTGTGGACAAATGTGGAATATTAGGCGCTTTCTTTCGGTGATCCAAACGCGTTTGGATTGTCAAATCACGTTCTTTCGAAGTGTGATCTTATAACTTTGTTTCAAGGGTGCTGAACCTTTCGTCACACTATCTGACGTCATAGCAAAATTAAGGCAGGTCGTAAATTTAGTAGTTGGTTTACATATTGTCACATTGACGTTTCAACTTATTTATTAAGGTGTCACTATCGTTCATCATTTTAGACCGCCCAAGTTGACAATCACTTGTAAGGCATCTGGTTCTGATAGGTTTTTTCCTGTTCTTAGGTTTTATAATGGCTAAATGGTCATGTATTTTATGTATGTTTTGAAAGAGCCACAAAAAAATTTTGATTTAATATTATAGTATTTGGCTATATACAGGGTCCTGCAACAATGCGTCGGTTTTTCCTACATAGCTGATACCTGGTAAAAAATATTGGTGGTTGCGGATCTACAGAAATTATTTTTGCATGTACAGGGTGTCCCATTTTTACGATGTCAATAAATAACTGATCTTTTTAAATAGAACATCCTGCATATTACTTGTTTCAATGCCATTTGTTCAAACTGCTATAACTATTCTTTTTCAAATGGAACTACTACTGTTTTATTTCGCTATTCGATTGTCTTTTGCGTTCTCTTCAATATTTATAAGGGGTGCCCTGTGCTTAAACCCCGCAGTTTTTATGTTATTCAATATTTTTCACAAAAGTACCTACTCATTAATTAATTACGTGTTTATACATCGGAGTAGGCTGCTATAATAAAAAAACAAAAGAATACAAGAAAGTAAAGGTAAACAGGTGTCACAAATTAGATAATTATTTGCTGCAAGTGTACTTTTGATTTGGTAAACAAATAAGATTAATTAAAAAGGCGAATTTCGAACAAATGAAGTAATTTCTTTAGATAAATACGGAGAGCCGCAACTTTATATCAAAAGAGCCGCATGCGGCTCGCGAGCCGCAGATTGCCGACCCCTGGCATAAGGATCTTGAATATCTTCTGATCCGATTTATTTAAAAAAAAACGCAATTGTGAGAGAAAACAGGTAGTGAAGAAAAAACTCTCAAATGTTCATATTCAAATCGTATGTACAAAAGAAAAAACGACACTACACCACAAATCCATCTTCTGATCCTGCATGGAGTATTAGGTATATACCGGACCCCTTCACCACTTCTTTTTCTAACTGTTTTGAGAGTACCATCTTGCCAGCTTCTTCTCAAAGACCCTTTACTGTATATCCAGGTTTCGTCTAAAACCACAGGTCGTAATGGAAAGAGTGAAGTTTCGTTGTGTTTAAAGTCTCTCAAAAATTGTAGTCTTCTTTGAACTGCATAGGGCTGTTCCATTAAAAATAATCTATTGGAAACGGTGCATCTCCGCCACGTGAATTTCAGTTTCTTCAAACTGCGGGACAAAAAGGTAGCAGATATTTCTACGCCATCAAGTCGTTGAAGATTACTGTGTAAGGAACGGAGTGTAACATTCTCACCTATAAAATCAATTCAATACCTAAGTGTTCTGGCGAACATCTTCATTCTGTGTATCGGTTCGTCATATTTACCTAATAGTAACGGGAATGACCTAAATTCATGATATGAGCGAATCGAACCATTATGCGGTAAAATTTTTAAAATACTTGTCTATTAACGGCGTTGCTGCACTGTCGACTTGCCTAAGCGTTTTTAACTTTGATGATATTTACTTCACTTTTAATACAAACTACCTAATGAAAAGGCGTTTAACACTGGAAATCTGTCTATAACGAAAATCATTTGACGGATTGATATTATGACAGATCAATTGGTTTATTTGTCACGACTTACGTTAATGACGTAATTTTTTTGTCTCAATCGATTTAAATGTAATGAAGAGAGAATCACATTTATGACGTCAGGTCTGAACCTATGCCTATACCTGGTGCTGACACCAGTGAAACAAAGTATATGATCATGATTGCTAAAATCGTGAACAAACTGAACATAAAAGTTTTATGATCACGAATTCCTAACCTATAAATGCAAGGATATTTTTGCTCAAATGTTCGATTAGTCAATTATTTGTAACTGAAGAGGGGCATAATTGTGCAAGTACTTCCACTTGTATTTAAATTATTTTCATAATCCAAAAAAAAATACATAATTCGAATGCAAATGTGTACTACGTAAACTCAACCATACTTTGATTTAAATTCGCGCGTTCTTTAGTAAAACGTGATCCTACGAATCACGATTTTGAAATCATGATTGCTAAGCAGCCGAAAGAAAGCGCCTATTGTATTGGCAGTCCATTTTTTTAAGAGCTTCGTGGTACCATATACAATGTAGTACCAAAGAGACTATGAATTTGGCACTTGGTAGTCTTCGATTCTTTGATCTCGCACGAAAACTTTGATAATTTTTTCAATTTTTAACAATGTTCCGTTTATCCTAAAGGGCCGCAAATTTAGTGTTAATTAATATTTCAGTGTTTTACACCCAGTAATCGACTTTAGGTCGTTCTTGTCTTTAATGACGGGCCTATACCCCGTACCGTCCACTCCGACTTAGTGCCCTAGAGCAGTGTTTCTTAATCTTTTCCAGTCCGCGGACCTCTAGAAAATCAAGCACAATTTCAAGGACCCCTCAATAGAAAAAAGAAAAAATTTCGAACAATTTATTTTAGTACTGAAAAAAAGGGGTCCGTGGACCACAAGTTAAGAAACACTGCCCTAGAGCGTTCGCTGTTCGCGCGCCTTCGCTTCGGTGCTCTCGCGTATCCAGGGCCCTCGTGTTTTCGGTACCTCAGTGCCTGATCGGTACCACTTCGATGCGCCTTTGGAACTCGGCACCTTCGGCACCTACCTAGTTTAGGCACTGTTGTCAGTGTATGTAGTAGGAGGTAGAAGGTAACAAAACAAGCTAAATGTAGAACAGGTGGCTTATCTTAGATGCAATAAAACCCGTTTGATAAAAGTAACATGGAAAATTACATGACCTTGCCAGGCAACTTCAATGTTAACAATGAAATAACTCATAAATAGGTACATAGATTTCTGTTGGCAGGGTGCCACCCCTGGCACTTGTAACTTGTCCCTCGCGCGGGATATCCAAGCCTAGAGTTGAGATTCGAGGTCAATCATAGTTTTAGACGTGGTAAATATTTTGGCTACAGTATTTCCCATCCGTGTGACTGTCTCTTCACGGCGTCAAGTATTAGCTTATTGATAAGTCCATACAAACATTAAACAATTCGATAATTCGCACAAATTTAAACGAATGAATGGAAATATATAAATTAAGCTTGGGGTCGAGACCATGTAATCAAAACAACACTAAATCGAGCAAACATTTACACCAGAAATGATAAAGATTTCATACATACACGTTATACAACATTGAGGCGTTGAAAAACAAAAAATATATACAGAAGACAAATACCTAAATGATAAAGACATACAGAAATACTACCTGCATTAAATCATACAAGAAAAACAACAATGTTAAACTACAGCTACGATGCTCTCTCGACGACAGCTCAAATCAAGAGGGCCTAATGTATCAAGCGTTCATGCTCTTGGACGGCGCAAACAGCTTACCCCTTTCTAAAAAGTCGTGCTGTTGCCTGCTCGCAAAAACGTATGCCTTATCGTAGTAGGTTATATGTACAGGGTGGATCCTGTCAATTCATATTGTGGTGTCTCATGGCTGGTCGAGATAACAGAATGTTTCACTTCACTATCTCGACTCGACTCCAAAGATGTAGGTACACACAAATAATCACTTTTCGTTATGTGATATATATTTTTTTACCCTTTGTCGTTTGTTAATTATTATTGAGTCTGTAATTGTTTGTTGAATCCATTCCATTGGAAATATCGACTTTAGGTGGAAATAGTTTTATGCGCACTGTGCTATTAATTTCATCTAAAAGGTGATTACGCATTTTTTTAAAATTTTTTATAAGTACAGTAAGCGGAGGATTTATCGGATTGAATTTATTGGATTAAAAATAAAATTTTTAATTACCAAAATATATTAATTAATTATTTATTAAGTATATGAATTTAATGTTAACCATCATTTTTATAACCTTCGCTTGTTGGCACTGTCGGAACGGTTAATCTCGAGCGCCACCAGAAGTTGCTACCATTTGCTTCTGGTCAAGGTCGGCGAAATGGTTTAGGAAACCACAGATAAACCAGTCGGAAAAACGGTCAGCCCATCTAAATTTACGGGGAAACAAAACAGAGGAAAGCAAACACCTTCCTTTATAATCAACGGAAATAAAAGTATTAAAGCACCTACGTTAAAATCAATTGGTATAACGCAAACGATGCAAAAAGATAAAAAATGCGAAGGTGCGAAAGATCCCTCATTCATACCTCTTTTATTTTATATTAAATTCGGAAATTCTGGAAGAGAAACCTTAACTTTTCAGCTAACACCACAAACTCGTACGATATTGCGCTGAAAATTAAAACTTCCTTAAACTAATTTCTTGATTCCCAGATGTTATAAAATCTGGGTTTCGGCTTAAATAGCATGATAATTAAGCGGGATTCAAATCCCAACCTAATCAGACGCCGTTTGCTGTAACTTTCTAGAATGTTATCGCAAGCTGTAAATCCGACCCTACAGAAGCCATATACTTAAATCATTGTAAAGCTCCTGACAAATCTGAATTTAATTTAGACGTCAAAAATAGCACGCTTAGGTTCTGCCGTCGCGGCCGTTTCCATAGAAACAGCATTGTCATATGTTTTAAAAGCCATTTTACATCTCGGTCCGCGTCCTGTTTGAAATACGAATGGCAGACATCATTAATATGTTTCACTTTATCTACCCTTGCGATTAAAGTGATCACTTTACTTACCCTCACGGTTAAAGATCATTAAAATTATTAAAATGTTACATGTTATCTGCCATTTCCCATTTTCCAACCCTATCTTCGCAGCTTTCAGGATGATTAGAGGGAACAACAACAATTTTTCAGCCGAATTGGTCTGCTCCTTACAAAGTTATACACAATTCAACAAATAGGTCTCAATTTTTTATTGGTGAGGTTAAAATCAATCGCATGCACATCGCAAGTGACGTAGGTACCATTGATAAAAACAATAGGGCTTGTCATTTCATGTGAATGCCGTTAAGCTTCATGAACAATCATGCGAAATGTACATACAAAGATAATTGTAAATACCCAGAGTGGAAGTGGAAGCTAATGATAAAAGTGTTTGGAGCATAGACGCTTTTACGTAATACACCCGCCAACAAAACATATAAAAGGTCGGGCTTTGCAATAGGTCATCATAACAGTGTAAGCACAATGAACACTAAACTCAGTTTGATAATCGTTATATCGTTTAATTTAATTGCATCAAACTGCTATACCGTCAAACCTGGACCGCTTGTAATTGCTACTGAAGGTGAAGTGTGGCCAAAACCTTATAAGCGAATCTACAGTGACTCTTTCCATTTAATTAATCCGTCGGATTTCAGCTTTAATGTAAGTATTTTTTACGTAAATTACTTCCTCTGTTGACGATTTCATTCGTGTTTTTAGTATGGAGTTGCTCTTTTTAGAGTACCTAGATGTAAACCCACGTAATTATTATGTAAAAAACCAAATAATTGTTGAGTTTATCGTCTGATTAATTATAAATATTCTCTCAATGCTTGCATAGTTTTCATAGAAAATATTGAGGTAAATTCTGCGTTGAGCGCCTACTGCCAATAATTAATACAAATCTAGCGTTGATTGGTAAATATAGACAATCAACGGTAGTTGTAGGTGTATCCATTACATACATGGAAAGGGCAAAAAACAACGGTACGAGAACCCATTAAAATATTCCCAACGGATCATTCAGTGAGGCATGCGTTGTTCCAATAATCGGTAATTTGGGGTTCATCTTACAAATATTAATAACAAAGATAACCCATTCACTGGCAAGAAAGGAGTAGTTTAAGCTGCATGGTATGCTATACGCCCATGTTCATTGTTATTTGTTAAGGATAATATAGTGTACTGGGGTCTGGAGATGATAATGTAGAATTGTAGACAATCTATAACAATGTAACTATTAGAACGTACAAAATTGACTACGGATACCTAGATCTTTTATGTTTCAGTTGAACTTATCGGATAGTTTGCTATATAGATGCATTTGTTTCCATGAAAATCAACTGTCAAATAGATTTAACGGTAGCATGAAAACCGACCTTTTCGGTGAATGCGGGTACCCCCATTTTTGCTTTAATAGTAGGTTGATATCTACATAAGAAAGTGGAATTGCTTAAACGTACTTACCTCAAAATCTAGTTCAATGAGTTTTATCGTACGATTGAAATTAAAACAAATAAATGATAAACGAAATACCTACTTACTTAACAGTGTCCTCAAACGTTCTGCAAATACCATGAGACGTGTACCGAGACTAAACCTGAACGTCAGAATGATGCTCACAAAATGAGTTTTGAGATTTCTTAAGAATTACTTTCTCGGAACAAAGTGAACAAAACACCACCCTCTCCGGAGGTTGCCACTTGCCATGTTCGTCAATGCACAGAAAAAGCATTACGAACTGCAGTCGCTAAACGGGCCGAAATGGGGGCATATGGACTGCTGACGTCGAGGTGTGACCTTGGGAGCGTCATTTTTAGCGTATTTCCAACGAAGTTCGGTGTGATATTGCAGAAACTTTCTCTGTCCAGTCTCCCCTCGTTTGTCTGTTCGAGACCGAAACTACTCCTACAGTTTTCATATTTAGTTCGTTTCTTTTTTTTTAAATTTGGTAGCGTAGAGCTTCTGGCAGGCTGCGCAATATTCAACTTTCTTATTTACTGATATATATATATATCTTTTTGAAATTTAATCACAGATTCTTCTGTTAAAGGATACATATTCTATATTGTAAACAATAGATGTGCGCATGCGCGTGCCAACTTCCTTATTTATGAGGATATTTCTTATGAAATTTTAACCATATAGTATGTTTCTGGTAAAGAAAAAACATATCACATTTAGTAAAAATCAAACTACCAATGTCATTAGCAAGAGTAAACACCTCGTACAAAGTAAAAATTTCAAATGCGCGCCTACCGGAGCCGTGTAATTAACATGTTTTTTAAAAATATCGAGGTTCATACATTAAAACATATTGTAACGTATACTTAATTACGGATTTATTTATTTGCAATTAATAAACTATAAATTTATAACAGTCTTTGAAATGAATTGATCTATACTTAACAGTCAAAATATTATTTATTACTCACATATAGACAATTTACAACAGCGCGAACTATGTATTAGTTCGATGTTGAAATTGCAACTGTCCTGAAACGCAATTCGTTTGCTGTTAATATAGCAAAGTCGAGTGTTCTCGAGCAGAATGTTCTCAAACATTCTAGACCAAAACACATCATATTTTCCAGAAATATTTGGGTCACATCCGGCCTTCGTTTTTTATTACCGATGCCAAATTTTTCATGGCGCCTCGATGTTCTGTCGGGATTTCTGGAATATTCGCTACAATATTTATTACTAGCAGACTCGACAAACTTTCTACCGCCTATCAGTCCCATCTCAACAGGAAAAATCCAATTCTCCATTTATATATCCTTGGAAGCTATATACGGGGTGTCATTTAAAAATTGCAGTTGGCCATATTTTCCAAACTAAAGAAGATATTGAAAAATCGCGGCAAAACCGTTTTGGGGGTATCGATGGGGACCAGAATGACGTTGTGAGTGACAACCCCCCACCCCCTTAACTCCCAGCGCCCCCGCCTCAAAAAATCATAAATGGAAACTCCATACTTGTGACACATCGTTGGAAAGCTACTGAAAAATGCTTTCCAGTGGTACCAATAAAGTCAATATCCATTTTTAACAAACATTTAATAATTAACAAAAACGAACTAATAGTTGACATTGAGGGATTTATGACAAATTGGCCAAAAACTTCAACCTGAGCTGCTTGGTAAAGTTGACCCTGGTCGTGGGAAAGTACTTGCAAACGCACACAACTCCTGCATGGCGGAATTTTTTTTCCCTAGGGGCGAAATTAGCCACGCTTGCGAAGCGCGCGTTCTGTGCACCCAAATTTTTCTTAGAGCTCTAATCGCGGTCTCTTTTTCTCGTGTCGCCAATAGAAGCTCGAGCTATGAGAAAACGGGCTAATAAAATACTGTTCTGCCACATAAATGCGCTGAAGTCCCTACGGTTTCACACTCGGCTTAAATGTGTCGGTGCAAACGGCGATAAGAATTATAGGTTCATATTTTGCCTAACTTTTCTACTACTTTTTACGGGAACGTACTGCTGTACTGTATACCTACATGGCTCCCACATGCCAAAATATCTTTCTGTTCGCATCCCTGCCTGTCTAAGCCTTAATGATAGAGTCTCTGGTCCTACCGGTGCAGGACGAAAACAACTCGCATGAGTTATTGTTTAGATTTTTTCGTACTGCTATAGCAGAACGAGATTATATCGTGTGCACTGAGAAAGAATTTACGATTTTGCGTAAGTTTATTACGTGTCTCTCTATGCTGTTGCAATCAGAAATTATTGTCATTATTTAAAGCTGTATTTATGAGGTGCAAAATGACGTACATCCCTATCGGTATTTTTGTGTATATGCTTTGGCTACGGAATTTGACGGAAAGAATAATTCCTGAAGTGCTTCTCAATTCAGGAAAAATTGGAATAGCGCGAGTTGTTAATGGTATGATACAAACAATTGTTTTACATATCATATTCAAGAAGATATCCCCGCGTAAGCATTGATAATATTAAATTAAAAATATTATATTAAAACGGATAATTGTCTTTTTATGTCACATTCCACGACTCACTGGCGTCTTAAATTTTCAAACGCATTTATAAGTCCAGACTGTAATTCAAGACTATCAGCGCACGTGTCACAACCGAAAAAATTTAAGAAATCCTACCAAGTCACTGGTTTTACTTTTGAAATTCACATACCCACCTGTGGTTCTCTCATACGATGTTCTTAACCATATTCTAGTCACAATTAGCAGTCCATGGTATATTACGTAGCTTTAATTTCAGATTGTATCGGAATCATGTAACATACTAACTGGTGCTATAAGTCGGTATAAAAATATTATTGCTAATCAAACGTTTCCACATACTAGAAAGCAAGTGAAGAATGAAGAACAAATATCATCATGGAAAAAGAGTAACTTTGTTGGATATTTAGAATCACTTGACGTAATTTTGATGGAGCCGTGCAATGATGATGAAATACCGACAATTTCAATGTTGGAGCAATGTAAGTAACAATGCAAGATGTTGACAATGGTAAACTAAAAACCTTTTCTGTTGATCGCACCTTGCTCAGAATGCAGTTATTACACATTTGCGACTTCAACCATGTTGAAAGGTGCTCTTACCACCACCTTTTCCGTGCCCCTACCCCCTTATATCTGCATGGATAGCAGTTCCTGAGTTAATGCTTTTGTGTTAAAGCATTTGGTAGCCTTTGTTCCAAACCAAAGCAATAGCTAACGGTTGTGCTTGGTGTCAACAAACACATCCGCAAGATAGTTACACAGCACACCTTTAGATTTGCTCTATTTATAATTTCATGTTTCAGACGAGATTAAGATTGCAGAAAACGCAAGTGTTTTAGCAGCCACGAGTGTGTGGGGGATCTTGAGAGGTCTGGAGACCTTCTCTCAACTGTTATACCCCGCTGAAGGGCACGCGGTAAGTTATATATGAGGATACCTTTGAAAATGCATATGTTGCAGTTGATACTTAACTGCACCTTTATAAGCGATTTTCCTCGCTATTCCCACAGAGGAGTTTTAATAGATACATCGAGACATTTCATACCGGTCCAAAAACTGTTAAAGATACTAGACGCGCTAGCTTACAATAAACTCAATGTTTTCCATTGGCACATAACAGACGATCAAAGTTTTCCTTACCAAAGCAGAGACTTTCCTTCGTTAAGGTACATACGTCAGTCAGATGCACCCAATGCATCACGCGTATTTTCTATTGCAGTGAGAAGGGCTCGTATCTTCCCACACACGTTTATTCACAAAGCGATGTAGCAATGCTTATTAAATATGCGGCAGCGAGAGGAATTCGAGTTGTAGCTGAATTCGACACGCCGGGTAATTGGTCTTCTGCTAACCGCAAACTATTGCAATAATCGCAAAAATTGAGTAGGCCACACTCGTTGCTGGGGAAATGCCTTTCCGCAATTATTAACGGAGTGTTACAGTAATGGTGTGCCGACTGGGGAATACGGACCAATGGATCCTACCAAGGAGTTTACCTACAAATTCATGAAGCAGTTCCTGAGCGAAGTAGTTGATGTTTTCTATGATCGAGCTTTGCATTTAGGAGGAGACGAAGTCGATTATGACTGTTGGTAAGTAAAGGAACGGTGGAATTTTGTGTAGGATTTTCGTTTTCAGGGCTACCAATCCGGACATTAAGCACTTCATGGAGGCCAATAACATTTCGTCGTACAAAAAGTTGGAAGGGTATTATATTAAAAAGTTGATTGATATCTCTGAGAAATTAAAAATGAATGCTATAGTATGGGAAGAGGTATTTACGAACGTTGCCGATATACCTGAAAACACTATAGTGCACGTGTGGAAAGAGGGTTGGCGTAATACAATTAAAGAAGTAAGTCATCTCTTTTGAAGTACGAGGGTGTTTTTTAAAACTATATCTATTTGATAATGACGGGGCTCAAACAAATTGCTTGGTTATGAAATAATGGTTAGTGTAGTAAGTACATTCACGTAACTCTGTGTGGCCCCACGACATTGGGAATTGGGCAGTATTTTTTGTAAAAATAAACAAAGTTCCTTACTAAAGAGGGAAATAATGGTGCGAAAGTTACCCATGAAAGAATGACAAAGGGGTGAGGTACTAACGGGTCATTTTCAAGTAAGATCGAAACAGTTTTACTGGCGTCCAGAGTTGGTTCAGGACGATCCAAGATTAGGAAGATCTGTTGAGGCACCAGCTGTAGAAGATTTACAGCTGTAAATCGACGAAAGTTTGTAAAAGAAAATGGGGAAGTAACATAGGTACTGAAGATTCTACGATTCCTTACGTCAGAGCAAAAACTGTCTAAAAAACGAGTTTTCACGCGCTACGAAATGTGACGAAACAGAAATCAATTCAGGAACCCACTCACACAAAGCCAAAAACGCAGCCTTAGTCTGAAGAAATTGATTGATTTTTTGGGTCTACGAGGGCGTCTTGCTTATTGTATACATAGCAAAAAGGACACCGATTAATGTTGGGGTTTATGGAAGCAAGATTGAAGTAGGCCCTTAAAGTAATACCATTGAATTTATAACTATAAATTCAATGGTAATACGACCCGATACGACCCAACTCATGGCGAACAAAAACTGCTATGTTGCATTACAATTGCAGGCTTCTTTTTAACATTCTAAAGAAATACCTTAGGGGCCGCATGTTTGCCTCAAATAATGATCTGAAAAGTGTATAATAAGTGGACTGTAGATTTTCTAATTTTTATTGTACTACGTATAACAGCATAACGTAACGTCAATTGTACATAACGCCGATCTCACGAATGAATGTAGCCGATGGTCTGCAGTGTTGCCATCTATTGTACGTAACATACTCCCCCTTTTTGTTTTATATCCATAAAACAATACAAATAATTAACACAAAGGATACAACAATTAGTCACAAACGGAGTTACAAGGCAACATAAATTAAATTTACAACGTCCATCTTAAAATTACTTATTTTTGCTTATCAATACATTAAATTAATTATTGGAATTTACATAATCAAAAATGTAAAGATACGTCGTCAACAAAGTATACGGAATTTCACTTGACAGTTTAGGATAGCAGAGCTACTTGATTATTTCCTTGTCTAAAATGTGTTACTTATATTAGTGTAGATCTTAAATGTCAATTTATTATATTACAAATCAATTGGAAGGATAGCAAGTTTTGTGACAGAACGAATATAGGTGCCTTTGTGAGTTTTTACTTCAACTACTCGTACCTTGTTATCATTTCCAGGTAAAGTTCGTGTAATTCTACCCAATGGCCATTTTAAAGGAGGTAAATTTAAATCTTTAATTAGAACCAGCATGCCTACTTGTAGATTAGGAGTAGGTGCCTTCCACTTTGGTCGTGCTTGCAACTGTACTAGATAATCTACATGCCATTTTTTCCAGAACTGTTGTTGTATTTGCGTGCACAAACGCCACATTTTCAACCTGTTTTGCGGAATCGATGTACAATCAGATTCCGGAAAACTAGTAAACGTGCTTCCTATCAAAAAATGACCAGGAGATAAATATTCCAAGCTAGTACAATCGTTGCTCATTGGTGTGAGAGGTCTCGAATTCAAGATGCCTTCTATTTGAATGATTATAGTATTGAACTGTTCATATGTTAAAACGTTATTCCCTACAACTCTTTTTAGATGTGCCTTTGCACTTTTAATTCCCGCCTCCCAAAGGCCGCCAAATACGGGCGAATAAGCTGGGGTAAAAATGAATTCTATACCTTCGTCTAGGCTATAATTCTCTACCTTGTTCGCACTTTCTTTTTTACACATATTTCGCAATTCACTCAGCTTTCTATTAGCACCCTTGAATGTGCCACCATTATCACAATAGATTTTTGCTGGTTTGCCTCGACGTGATATAAATCTTTTAAGAACCGATAGAAAATTATCAGCAGTTAAATCAGACAATAGTTCCATGTGAATCGCCTTTATAGAGAAACACACAAACAATGCAATGTATGATTTTGTGATTACAGACCTTCGAATAGTAGATTGTTTTAATTGAAATGGACCACAAAAATCAACACCTACATTATGAAATGGTCTATTGTAAGTTACTCTTGGTTCAGGTAAAGATCCCATTAATTGTTGTGCACATTGAGCTTTTAATCGGAAACATATTACACACTTATGAATAATCTTTTTTATCTCCCTATTTCCATTAATTAACCAATATTTTAAATTTAAGCTACTTAAAATCTGTTTTTGACCTGCATGTAGCAATTTTTTATGCTCTCTTATAATAATTAAATCAGTTATGATGCTTTTTTTTGGAAGTATTATAGGGTGCTTTTGGTCATACTCAATCTGCGCATTCTGCAACCTGCCACCTACACGAAGAATTCCTCTCCTGTCTATAAAAGGATGCAATGATGCTAATTGCGTCTTTACTTGCTGACCATTTTGAATTAGCTTGAATTCTTCGTGAAAGTGAAATTGCTGTTCAACGATCAAGATTTTTTCTAAGGCATTATAAATTTCAAACGGCTTTAAATTACCAACTAATTTATACTTTGGCCTACTTGCATTATGCTTAAACCTTAATATCCAGGCTATGATTCTTTCTAACTTACTTATTGAAGAATATTTGGCAAATAATGTACTAGATTCCAAAATAATTTGAGTGCAGGCTATTTTCTGCTCTGGCAATGGCTCTGCCAGTTTTACCTCAGACAGCGGATGCTTATAGTTGACATTTAAGAAATAACTCGGCCCATACCACCAGATTTTGTTTTTTGAAATTTCATTTGGATTAATACCTCTAGACAAACAATCCGCTGGATTGTCCTTTGTATTAATATACGACCATTGCATACCTTTCGTTAAGCCTTGAATCTTTATTATTCTGTTTGCCACATATGGATTTAATTTAACAGAGTTTGTTTTTATCCAAGCTAATACTATGTTAGAGTCAGAGTACAAATACACCTTGTTTATCCTTTTCTTTAATACACTATATACTTTATGAATTACATTTGCTAATAACAGCGCACTGTTTAACTCTAACCTGGGTATTGTTAGTTTTTTATTCAACGGAGCTATGCGCGATTTAGAACACAATAAAGTTGACGTAACAGTTTCATTTACAGTTCTTATATACACAACTGCACCGTATGCAAACATGGAAGCGTCGCAAAAACCTACAAGCTCACTAGTAGCATGGGAATTCAATTGCAAGTATCTTGGAATATTAATTGGTTCCATTTTTCTTAGATTCTCTACGAACTCCTCCCATGTTTCAAGTAACTCATCACTTAAAATGTCATCCCAGTCTATTTTCTTTAACCACAACCTTTGCATTATAATTTTTGCAGATACAAAAAGTGGGCCTACCAATCCTAGAGGATCATAAAATTTACATAAAAAGCTCAAAATTTTACGTTTAGTGTTAGCCTTAGTGATGCTTTCCTTGGGACTTGATATTTTAAACATGTCTAATTTAACATCAAATGACAACCCTAATGTTTTTACTATCAAATCATGATTCATCTCACGTTCATCAAAATGTTGTAATTCAATTGGGATACCATTTAAAATAGAAGGGTTATTAGAACACCATTTATGTAATTCAAATGATCCGTTACTTAATAATTGTATGAGTTCATCTCGTAATTGTATGACTTCTTCAACAGTGTCGCCACCAGCTAAAATATCATCTACATACGTGTTATGTAACACTGCCCTGGCCGCCAAAGGGAACTTTTTACCCTCCAGGTTACACAACTCCACTAGGCAACGAGTTGCAAGAAAGGGCGAACTTTTTAGCCCGTATGTAACTGTTTGTAGCTGTAGACATGTAATTGATGATTTAGGATCGCTTCTCCATAAAATATTTTGAAGAGGTTTGTGCTCGGGAGAAATTAATATTTGTCTGTACATCTGCTTTATGTCACTTAGAATCACAAATTTGAATGTCCGAAATAATAACAAAATATCAAATAGCTCATTTTGAACTACCGCTCCGTTGTACATAAAATCATTCAATGATACCTGCTTATTTGTTTTCATGCTTCCATCAAAAACTACTCTTAATTTGGTAGTTTTCTTATCATCCCTTATAACTGGGTGATGAGCTAGAAAATGAGCAATTTTTTCATCATTTTGAAGTTCAACCATTTTTGCGTGACCAAGCTCAATATATTCATTGATAAACCTTGAATAACTTTCAAATAAGGTAGGATTAATGGAAAACCTTTTTTCTAAATTTATAAATCGTTTCAAGGCAATCTTATATGAATTTCCCAATGTATCGGGATTTAATTCTTGTTTCAATGGTAAAGACACTTGAAACCTATTACCCACTCTCACAACAGACTTTTGAAAGCATGATTCGCATGCTTCTTGTTCAGTTGTGAATTCAGGATAAATTTCAGAGACCTTTTCAGTGTCCCAAAATTTGGATACCAACTCTTCTAAATTAAAATGACAATATTCTAAGGATAAATTACAAATATTTTGTTGCACAGTACCACTGACCATGTAACCAAATACTGTATCTTGCAACACCAAGTTACCAATCTGGAGACGATCTTGTCGTAAAATTTTGAAAAAGATGTCAGCACTCAACAATAAATCAATAGGCTTTGGCACATTGAACTCATTATCAGACAGAATTATGTTGTTCGGCATGATAAGCTGTGATATGTCAATAGGAACTTGTGGCAGATTTTTTGTGATCCTCTCCACCACTGAGCATTTGATACTTAATTTGTAATTAGTTGTACATGATTCAATCAATAAGTGAACAGCCTTAGAAACCTTCGACATTGTATTGGTAATGCCGAGAATAGTTTTACCACTATTAAAGGTGTTCAATTTCAATTTATTAATTAAATTGGTAGTACAGAAGGAAGTTTGAGATCCTGTATCGACAAGTGCCCTAACAACAGTCTCCTGGCCATTCCTTGATTTAATTTTGACTTTAATAATAGGTAGGATAACATTTTCTACATGATTCTGACCAACAGAAACCACACTACTCTCTTCTATTTGATGCAGTAAAGAGTTATGACCTTCTTTACATACATGACATTTTAAATTAAGATTACATTTATCAATATGGTCATTCAGACAGAGTTTACAAAAACCCTTGGTTTCAATAAAATTGATACGATCTATAACAGAAATTCCTTTAAACTTGTTGCACCTATATACCTTGTGTCCCAATTCCATGCAATAATTACATTCCATTCCTTTCCCCTTTTTTGCCTTTGGTTTTACTGCAAGATTGCACATCAGCGATTTGCTCAATTTTTTTTTCTGGAAAACCAACAGATTCTAAAGCTGTAGCTCTACTCTCCAAGAACTGCAGTAATTCCTCAAGTGTGGGCAATGCATTGGCATTGTTCCTGTCAAATTGAAAGGCTCTATTAGTATATGTATCGAGTTTTCTGGACAATAAACAAAGCAATAACATATTCCACTCGTGAACTGGTTGACCTAAGTTTTTTAATGCGCTTACTTCTTGCTTAATCTTGGCAACAAATTCACGAATGTTACTCGCAGTCCCTTTGATTATGTCAGGTACATCTAACATAGCATAAATGTGAGAACTGGTAATGATAAACTCATTTTTGTATCTACTATCTAAAATGGATATAGCTTCCTTATATGATTCATGAACAATAGGTAAATTAACAATTAAGGACAAGGCTTCACCTTTTAAATAACTACGTAAATAAAACAGTTTTTCAACATCAGTTAAGGTACTGTTATTACCAATCACGGCCACAAACAAATCATTAAAGGGTTTATACTTGCTTAGTTCCTTTCCATCAAAGCACGGAATTTGAACTGATGGAAGTTTGGTGTTGGGTTTTAGGATGTCCGGTACTGTAACATGGTTTGATGCCAATGGTTGAGAAGCACTGTGCGAACTGTCAATTGGTGCTAGACGACAATGGAACGCCTTTATTTTTGTGTCGATTTCAGCCATCAATTTGATGTACTTATTTTCGAAGTCGTCAACAATCTCCGGTTCCCCTTCCTCCAAAAATGAAATTTCGACTTGGCAATTATTATACTCCTTAAAGCAGTTCGATAACATTCCCTTGCGTACCTCCAACTCGTTTATTAATGTGTCGGTGAGAGTAGCGTCTTTGTGCAGATTAAGAAAATTTGAAATGCGTGTAACACTCGCCTTGCAGTAAGCCCGTTTCGCCTTGAACCTCTTCAACTCAGCCATTGCATCGATTGATTAACGTAACTTTTTTGTAAAATTATAGATTCTACAACATATTCAATGTGAACGCTAGCAAATTGTTGCATGCAGTCGATTCTATGATAATGAATAATTATTGATATTCATTAATAATTCGAATAAGTTCACAACACAATTATGAGGAACCAAGTTTAAAATGACAGATGGTTAACACCAACTTTGAAGGTTAGCGGATATAGCCGCCACTTCTATTAACTAAATTAACAAATTAGCAAAATACTTTATGCTATTTGCATAATTAATTGCAATTTTAAAGTTTAGTCTAAACGGTAGGTAGGTACATACAGTTCTATTTCGATGTGCACATGTGCTGCACTGCACGTTGTAGGTGATAGCAGGTGATAGCAGTGTAGTCGGCCAAGATGAAAATACACTTCATCCATCGAATTCTAATTAATCCTGATTTATACCATCCGGATCGACTGGACCATTTTTATGTATAATAAAGTGGACTGTAGATTTTCTAATTTTTATTGTACTACGTATAACAGCATAACGTAACGTCAATTGTACATAACGCCGATCTCACGAATGAATGTAGCCGATGGTCTGCAGTGTTGCCATCTATTGTACGTAACAAAAAGTGCATGCAAAGAAACATGTGGGGAAATGCTGGACTAAGTATATTAGTATAGATGGCAGCTACGTATATATAGAAATAATTTGTTAAGCTTTGTGCAGTTTCCTTCATAGTTGGGTAGAATATTAAAAAGACACCCTCGTATGTGGTACTTGAGTGTGGTGGACGAGAAAACAAAATTATATCTAATTACACTTCGTGATAACTTCTTTAACGATAATAGGTATACTGGTACATACATTCGTTATCACGTTAGTAGTTTTAAAGCCTCAGCGTTGAACAACATACGTGTGTGTGAGCACTGCCTTTAACTCTGCTTCGTAATACATATGTTACGCCTCTCCTTATTTAAACTTAAACAAAGTTCAAATCTCGCAAAAAAACTGCTAAGTATATCGATGGTGGTTTTCGAATTTAAACGATTCTAGAGTGTACGTTCAGTACAGCCTTAGTGTAAAGAATAGAATTACACTATGGTACAGCTAAAGATTTTGTTTTGTTAACCCTTTAATTTTTTTGAGAGTCAAAAGCGTGTCTTTTTGCGATCAAAAATGTTTAGGTGACCTTTACGCTCGATCTGCCGCTCTTCTTCTGCGTGTTTTCCCTTTTTCCAAGACGCGGGCTAAAAAACTGAAATGGAACCGGAAACTCGTTTGGTGACGCCCAAACTCCTGACTCCCTGTCGCGTTCTTTAACCAATCCAAATCTACTATCCATATCTGGAAGCTGTGGCGGCCAGAAAATCGTAAGAAAACCAACGCAATTGGACGAACTCTGTGTCTGTCTGTCCTGTTAAATACGAAATTTACATTTTTGAAGACAACATTTTAGAACATTCATATTCATCCAGGCAAATTTGTTGGAAGATCATACGTGCAAAATACACGCTCTTCTGCGGCGAATGTAAATACCCAGGATGTCAGTATTAATCAAGTTTGTACCTACATTTGGTCATCTCCACCACCACATCCGAATATTATAATGTATTAAACCTATTTGTATTTTTTACTAGGTAACACGGCGCGGTTTTAACACTCTATTATCTTCTTGCTGGTACTTGGATCATTTATATACCGGTGGCGATTGGATTAAATTTTACAATTGCGAACCGACCGACTTCAAAGGTACCGAAAAACAAAAGAAGTTGGTCATGGGCGGAGAAGCTTGCATGTGGGCTGAAGTGGTTAACGAGTATAATTTAGAATCAAGAATATGGCCAAGAGCAAGTGCCACAGCTGAAAAATTGTGGTCAGAAGAAGATGCCGACGAGATAGACAGTGTCAAAAGACGGTTAGAAGAACATACGTGTAGAATGAACAAAAGAGGTGTTCAAGCTCAACCACCAAATGGGGCTGGATTTTGTGAAATGTAATGGTAATTTTCTTGTACTAATTTTAAAGTAAAATAGTGTCAAAATTTCTCTTGTGTTTTTAGACTTAAGAATACATAATATAGTGTCTATATTATATACCAAGATAGAGAATTTTTCATAGTACCTACTTGTTATTGCCTATAAGCACCAAGATTATACTCCGAGGTGCTTGGGTTGTATTATAACCTACCAAGTGATTCAGCCTTGTGATGTGTGATGGTCCTAGGGGTCTATCAAGCCGACACTGGAAATATTGACTTGCTCTGTACTTACCGTTGGCAACTCTGGGAATAAACTACGAGCAGAGCCACCTACCTTTCAAGTCGAAACGATGGACGTTTCGCGGCACTTTTGAATTTGGATACAGTTTACTCGATATGGGTGGCACGAATGAACTTCTACGTTGTGTAATCGGTTCTTGTATGTGTTGGGACGTGATACATAATTGCGAAGGGAATTAAATAAAAAGACAGAACTTTTGCGCGTAAGAAATTACAAGAACAAATAAATATATTACGCACACCACAATGCTATACCAAGGAAACCTTCTACGGGACAAAAACCCCGACATAGGCCACACAAATATATGAAATAAATCACGTACAGCAATAAAATGCAAGAGAAAATACACATAAATAAAACATCTCAAATTGTATGATAAAAATCAGATAATCAAATTAAATGCAATTAAACAAGTTCATAAAAACAAAATACACAACATCATAAATGCAGTGGAAAACGTCAAACCTGATAAATCAATTCAGTACAAAAACAAATCAAAATACCTGTACGATCAATTGAGCTAACACAACTCGTAAAATAATAAATTGCATGTACATAGGAAACATGTAAATGGTGTGGCTCTACCCCAGCCTTCAGTTAACACAATAGTTATTTATGTATTAAGGGCATAATAGTGATGTTTATATTCTCGAGGGCGACGAGTTAAAAAGCTCGAGGGCCTATGGCCCGAGAGCTTTTTAGTCGCCCGAGAGTATAAACATCAGTTTATGCCCGTGGTACATACACAATTTTATGTTTTACAAATAGTTTTCTTCGTCAAAATTCGTTTACAAAATAATTCATTATGTTTGATCGAGTATGCGTGGTTCGAATTTGTTAATGTGATTGAAACTTAGACCATATAGTACATGGACTGCTATTCGCCCTATGCTTTCAATACAAAATGGATGGTCACGGATAGAGGGCACTGTAGTCGTGGGTATGTGAATCTCAGGGTAAACTAAAGTCGTGTAAACACCACTAGGATCGCTTAAAGAGCAGCTTTATAGTACCCGCGTAGTACGGGAAGCTTTAAATGCTCTTCATTATTTGCTATACGTCCACAAATAAGAATAAGTTTGCTTTTTTTGGGATATCTAGGCGATTAATTAATTGACGTTTGTTAATTTATAGGTTGACAGTCTGAAATCGTGTCTCATCGGACAATTTCGGACAGACTCGTTTACCCTGAAACTCACATACCCAGGCGATGGCCTTGACCATATTTTAGTTACAATTAGCAGTCCATGTACTATATGGTCTAAGGATTGAAACCATCCAAACGTCAAATGTAATTTTAAGTAATTCAATAATTCATCGTGAATGAGGAAGAAGTTAGAGAAACTATACGAAATAAGGCCAATCTTGTGATTTAGTAGGTATTCACAATTAATAATTGACGTTTCTAATTTTCAATGACCTGCAAATATTTGTTTGTTTTGTCATTAAGTATAAATGAGTTACTATGGCGATACTTAATGCCCTAGGGCATAAAGTGGTACTTTATGCCCGCGTATCACAGATTCACAGATATAAAATGTGCTATGATAGGTTAGTAAGACATAAATTAATTTAACACGAAAAGTACATGTGAGAATGCCAATAGCAAGTATTCATGTGGAAATTGATTATCGCTCAAGCAGAACATATTTTAAATAGAGGAAATGTTAATGAGGGGGGCCCTAAATATCTCGCATTGCTAAGATGTCAAGAACTGCAATCCGCACGAGACGAGTAGGCAACAGATACAGCGAAAGACCGAACTGTATTAGGTATCTACCGTAGACCATATAGTACATGGACTGCTATTAGCCCTATGCTTTCAATACAAAATGGATGGTCACGGATAGAGGGCACTGTAGTCTTGGGTATGTGAATCTCAGGGTAAACTAAAGTCGTATGAACACCACTCGGATCGCGTAAAGAGTAGCTTTTATAGTAACCGTGTAGCACGGGAAGCTTTCAATCCTCCTGATTATCTTCTATACGTCCACAAATCGCAATAAGTTTGCTTTTTTTGGCATATCTAGGCGATTATTTAATTGACGTTTGTTAATTTATAGGTTGACAGTCTCAAATCGTGTATAATCGGACAACTTCGGATAGACTCGTTTACCCTGAAACTCACATACCCAGGCGATGTCCTTGACTATATTTTCGTTACAATTAGCAGTCCATGTACTATATGGTCTAAGGTATCTACTCCACGGAGACAGAATGAACCACTCACACACACAAACATCGAAACATCAAATAAGAGAGCCCCCCTCCGTATAGCTAAGCTAACGCACAAGAACTGTAGCGCGCCACGAATAAGAAACAGATACAGCGAACAATCAAACTATATTATAAGGTACTTCCCTCACGGAATTTACCATTCAATCGAACAGAGCAACATCGCACTGATAATGAACTCGTGAATACAGAAATAAATACTTAATAAAACAAAATAATGGTATAATCACCTGTATACAGTCAAACAAACGTGATTCAGATAACGGTACTAACAAAGGCATCGGTAGTTTATGCAAAATCAGTAAAATGTAAATAATATCATATTGTGACAAGAAATTCAATGATTAATAGTTAGTAGATACAAAATAGAATAAAATGGTTACTGTACCTGTAAATACCCCTTCAAAATACCACAAACTAAATCAAGACGAAAAACCTAGGACAGCGCGATGCCCTCCATCGACCCCGTCACCATCTTCTTTCTTCCGCCACGCTCTCTTTTTCCCCTAGCTTCGCTACGAAAATCCCCTAGTATTCGGCATCTGCGCAAAACGGTCGATTGGTTATATACAGAGCATATCGTATATTTGTTTCAAATGTAAAGGTGTGTTGCCTAACCATAAGGGTGGATTATCACAGATATATCACTAACGTTAAACTTAACTTGCAGGTTATCTGTCAAAAACGTCAATTTCCCTATAGTCAATAACGCAAAATAACGTTTTTTGGCAGATAACCCGCACGTTAAGTTTGACGTTTCTGATACATACATACATTTTTTGATGAATTCTGAAGCATGGAACTAGAGTAGCCCCGTTTACACTACTCACTACAGTGTATATAGGCAACGCGAAGCTCTTCTACGACACAAATTCGGCTTGAACAAAATGGAATGTCTTATATTCGGGGTAACAACTTCATTTGGTTTTGTCTGGAAATGTATATTGATTAAATTTACAAAATAAGTTAAAATGTATTCCATTATCAAAGTTAACTTGAACTCTGGCGATTCAGCGGTGGTTCCTGTAATGAATAAATAGCTAAATGTCAAAACAATGGATAGGAAAATAAATGACACATACGTGTTCTTTAATTCCCAGTTTGGCGCAATCTTTAAATAATGACAATGTATTTTAGTTGCCCATAAAATGTTTGTCTCCCAGCACCAGTACAACATGGTGACTAATTCTTGCTTCCCCCCCCCCCCCCATTCCCATTATTAATGCACATTTTAATTTAAGTTTCATGTTAAAGGAGGGGGCTAGAGGGCGCCACAGAATATGGAGTACGCTTCTATAATATAAGCTGCGTACGTTGCGGCACGCTGAGGACGTATAGCTAGACTCGAATGCCTTGTGAAAGCCTCATTTCTGTTCGTCCTCAAGTCAGTGGAGTTATAGCAAAGTCAACTTAGGTACGTGTAAGTGATGTCATACGCAATATTTTGACGTTACGTATACAATCAAAAGTAATAACGGGCGATAAAAAATTGATTGACGTCGTCTTTGGAAGTACAAGTTAAATATTATTTCTCATGTAAACAAAAATTCTAAAGGTAACTCGACAGCAACTCTTTTTTTGATCGCATAGTAGCTAAATCAGCTTATGGAAGTTACGTAAAAATCCTAACTTAACCTTACTTTTTATGTAAACAAGTAAAATGATTTGTGATATATGAATCTTACTGTAATTGTACTAAAAAGCGTTCTGTTTTTGAATTTGATGGACGATGACGAAATTAACGACATAATGGTATTAGACATTATAAATGTAAATCAATTACAAATTTGCCGCTTACACTGTTCGGTTATTTAACAGCAACTCATTTTTGATCGCATAGTATTTCATCAGCCAGACAAATTAGGCGCTTTCTTTCGGCTACTTCGCAATCATGATTTCGAGATCGTGATTTGTAGGATCACGTTTTACGAAAGAACGCGCGAATTTAAATCAAAGTATGATTAAGTTTACGTAGTGCACATTTGCATTCGAATTAATTATCTATTTTTTGTTTGGATTATGAAAATAATTTAAATACAAGTGGAAGTACTTGCACGATTATGCTCCTCTTCAGTTACAAATATTGACTAATCTAACATTTGAGCAAAAAAATCCTTGCATTTATAGGTTAGGAATTCGTGTCAAAAAAATTTTATGTTCAGTTTGTTCACGATTTTAGCAATCATGATTATAAGATCACACTTCGAAAGAACGTGATTTGACAATCCAAACGCGTTTGGATCACCGAAAGAAAGCGCCTATTGAACACACAGGTTCCACGAACTTGAAAGAGGTGTAGTGTCGTGTCGGTAATATAGCTACTATATCGATAGATATTGTAGCCACTACCAGACAGCTGACAACTGTCAGTTTTTCGTTTATATAACCTGACCATTTGCCATTAATTGATAACAAAATAATTGATTTAAATTATATCCATGGCTTCTATAATTCTACGAAGCAAAATTTCACCGTCCACGGTTTTAAAGGCGTAATATAATATTAAGTTTGAAATTGTATTGCGTGATACTGATTGCAACTTTTAGGTGTTCCGCAAGTCTATCGACAGGTGCTCCTTCTTTTGCAGCTGAAACGCGAGATATCAATAAATCGATATGTCTGAAAGAAGCGCCCTTAATAAAAAAAGAAGTTGGATTAATGAAACGGGAAGATATAATTCAAAAACAGCAACATGATGAGGCGATGATTACTATTGAAAAACCTGTAAGTACAATGTATAGGTATCAGAATGGAGAGGTTTAGTATCTACGGTCATGCAAGAGGCATGGTGGTATATTGGTAGCTATTAACAGTGTGTTTGCGGTAGAGCAGTGCTCGATTATAGCATTGTTTATTCGTTTAAACAAAGATTATTCGGTACGTTACTTTTGTATACAGGGCTACATTTTTTCCAGAATTACTGTGTATTAGTGTGTTATGTTCAGCCTATCATGCCCAATTGCACCAACAAAATTAAGTATTGCTTAAAGTTAGGTCGAACTTAAAATCTATTGCAACGATTATTAAGACAATCGTTGCTATGGTATTTAAGTTATGCTTAACTTTAAGGGATACTTAATTTTGACGGTGCAATTGGCCATCAGAGGTTCCAGTACGGCAAACCTGTGCTTAACCATCTAGCAGTGGTGTACACTTTAGTATTTAGGTCTGTGAACCAACTACTTTTTACCACCCATAGAGGTTAGTAGGTTAGTCGATGATGTCTGTGCTCTCATTTCCGGCCAAACGGCTGAATCAATTTGGAACCAAATTTTGTTCATACGTTCTTATATATAAAAGGAAGAGCTGGCAAGCTCTTGGGCAGGTGTGCGGGTGGTATCTGCTAGTCACAGCAAATTTTTTATGTCATATACAACTTAAGTATTTTCATGATTTAATCGATTTATCCAACTTACCAACAACCAAATTTTCATTTTACCATTTTCAGTTTGACCCAAAAGGAGCACATGACATCTATATTACTTTTTTGATTGCACTAACAGTTACAGAGATTATAATAACAAGATAGGTGATAATTGTTGTTTTTTAGGGGAATTTTTCGAAAGAATAGTATATTATATACCGCGGGACTGAAGTAGTACTTTTAATCCCGAAGGTAAAGTTACTTGAGGGATTAAGACCACTACTTCAGTCGCAAGGTATATACGATATTTTTCGTACTTCCGAAACTGAAACACTTAATCTGTATGGAGTTAGAGGACGCATTCTTTCAAAAAATCGATGCTCAACAAGTTACCATAGGAACTGTCATTGCTAGTGTCATAATTTTGATGGTGGGTGGCAAAGGTGTATTTGATATTGATAAAAAGCAGCCAAAGTAGGTAAAGAATTGATACCACCGAAATCCAAAAAACTATATGAACAGCAGTACTAACAAACATTTAATGGACAATAACATTTTCACATACAGAGAGGTACTCGCCCTCATTGTAAATAACATTGGCCGCTAGGAAACGTCATATTTTAGTTTTGACCTGCTTCAGTGATCGGCTACTTTTTATTGTTTGGGGTAATAAGTTATAGTATGTCGGTGATTTTTTAAAAAAGGAGTGTTTCGGTTTGGGCAGATAATTTATTTAATTATGTTCTCGCCGCCGTTAACTAAAACACATCTAATTAGCTACCGGTAACTAAACTTAATTGGTTGGGTTAAAAGACCTAAATTGAAAAGTCCAGTAATACAAAATATTTTTTGCGAATTTTTGACTACAAGGTTGGTTTACCTTTAACCGGTTCGGCGTCCTTGCACGTTTTATCCTGGGTTTCATTTAGAATTGTAAACATTGGAACTGAAATAATAAAATACCTATTAGGTAATTTTCGCTCGTGTTCCAAGTGACGAGAGCTTTCAGATACTGCAAAAATAATTTAAATATCTCCACGGGAACGGTTACAAAACTGGATAACCCAGTTGGGTTCATTTATATACAGTGTGTTCATTAGCTGGTCATTCACAGAGAGGTTGATCCGCCGGTTTAAAATATGTCAATTTGATCTATCACTGACATACAATTCTGTCCTGGATAAATTTAGCACATGTTACTTTTAGAGTGAAGTGGCTACGTTCAGCGGCGTTCCGGAAGAGCACATCAAAGGCAGACGTGTTAGAATCTTTGTTCCTCCAAAAAATGCCATGCAAAGCGGCACAGACAACATTCACCAGTGGAGTATGCAGTTTGATACACGAGAACGTTGGGAAAACCCTCTAATGGGCTGGTCTTCCACGTATGTATTTTTGTGTGCGGAATGGAAATTGCTTTATTGAGTTTCTAGAGGTGATCCGCTGTCTAATGTTGAAGTCAACTTCCCAAATAAGGATGATGCAATCGCATTCTGTGAGAAAAATGGTTGGGCTTGGTTTATTGATGAAAAAGCACCACCCAAACCAATGAAGCCTAAGAGTTATGGCGTTAATTTTTCTTGGAACAAGCGTACTCGCGTTTCAACTAAGTGATAATTTATTGTGAAGTGTAAATAAATAAATGGATAGTTTACAAAGTAGTGGTGCAATTCAATTTATTTCTAGCCTAGGTATATGGTTTCCCATTGTACTTATACATACATATACATTTACTTTAGTGGACTGTAATTTTGTATGTGCCAAGTTAGTGGTTTCCATTTATGCAGTGATATTCATGTATAAGTAGACATAAGTATTTCCTATGTCTACTTTTACATGATAAAAGTCTTCTAAAGGACGCCTAACTTTATGCAACCGAAGTAACTACCTACAACAAATGAGGATCGGTCTGTCATATTAATTAATTTGACAATTCAACTCGTGTATAAAAAATCGCATAAGCCGCAATGCAATTGTCACTTTGACAGCGGCAAAAGTTACCTGCAACTTTTCCAGCGACAATTCAACTCATGTATAAAAAAACGCATAAGCCGCGGTGCAATTGTCACTTTGACAGTGGCAAAAGTTACCTGCAACTTTTCCAGCGACAAATGCACTAGTGGTTTTTTCACTTATTCATTTTCGAACCAATTATCACATTATCCTTTCCCATATGACTAGTTTGACGTCTGTCAATAATTGATTAGTTTGGTGAATTTCTTGTTCGTTAAACTATCCTGCCGAATTACACTCGAGGTTTGTATTTAAACCGAGTAAATTTGTGTTGTTGCAATTCAAATCTGTTGCCTTTTAGCAATTGAACTCGAAAAACTGTCAACCTAAAAATGCTGAGACCTTCGGTGTCGCATTTTTATTAGTTGACAGTTTTTCTCGTCTAATTGCTAGGCAACAGATTTTCATTACCTAAACAACCCAAATTTACTCGGCAAAATTCAAACCTCTTGTGCAATTATAAGTGAATATTATTGCTTTCACTTCCGTATTTCGGTTCGTGTGCGATGTATTCAACCTTAGAGAAGGAAAGAATGTCATAGTCTAAGTATTCAACTAAAGAAAAAGTTGACATTTCCCGATAACAGCAAAGAATACTTATGACAGCCAGATCTTTATTTGTTTCAAGAAGTTATTTTGGTTGCATAAAATTAGGCGTCTTTACAGTAGGCAGAAAATTCGTATAGGCCCTATGCCTACTTCTACATGAAACATGAATATCACTGTATAAGCAATACACGCTAAAGTTGAAGCAAAGAATATACACTTTGCTTGAAACATGAATTGTTCCAAAATATGGTTTGTGTTGGCAAATTGAGTAGATCTTTGAAAAATAAATGCTGACACGTGTTCGTGGGAACTGGGAAGGACTGAGTGCGTCAAAGTTTTTAGTCTGTCACAGAAAAATGTTGCTGAGTTGCTCACTGGCGCAAACACAATTTTTTACCACAGATTACTTTTGTACAGTAGTCTATGGCTTTACAGTCGTAATCAATATGTATAAGACTCGCCAGGGAGAGAATGCTGTTCACAAATCACAGAGAACTCTATGCCAGTCTACAATATTGTACCTTACATGATTGTAGCCGGCATTCTCTCCTGGCGAGCATTATGTGTAGTACTGTAGTCAAAAGTTGGTGCTTGTTGGATAACCATATTTTACTTCAAGACAAGTTGCTCAGAATTATTTTCAGTTCCAATTGCATATAATTAAACTGGATTCAAACATGCACGAACTTTTGCACACTTAATAAAGCGCACTGTATGTTCTTGAGAAGAGAATGCAAAGATGAAAGATCATGGGAATGTTAAGGAGTGCTGCAAATTGTACCAGGTGTACAATAGAAAAAAAAGTCTGTGTATAGCAACTTCATTTTGTAGGTACAAGTAAAACTGCTTTAAAAAGTATGTAAGGAATATCTCCATAATAAAACCAGCCTACGACTGGAAGGTAGGCAACGGGCATACGTGTCAGAGTTGGTACACCTGCTTCCTATATAAAACGGTCGGAGTGCCACCACTGTTATGAAGTCACTTTGGTTCCTTACTTCTTGGTAGGTATGTGGAGTTTGGCATTTCGGATACTCTCTGTATAATATGGCGTTAGATGTCACTGATGTCAGGACTTGCCATTGCGAAGCTTTCTTCATCTGTTTCTCCGACTAAAAAACTAAGAATTGAGTTTACTGATTAGTGGTTATTACAATTAGGCTGTATGAAAATTCAATCGGGATTGGTAAAAACTACCGTGGACTGTGCCAATTGTAGCGATTATAGAATCTACCAATCCGCTGGAAAACAGAATTCTTACCTTCATTTGTTCCTTTGAAATGGGCCAAAGAGTATGAGTATATCCATTGTATATAATAAACATACAGGGTGGTTCAAATAACACTGGAAAACTGAAAATGTCAAATTCTAAATTTGACATTTTAGTTTTTCGGTGATCTGATATTTTCAAAAATTTCAATAGCGGTTTTTTAGTTTAAAAAAGGGGCAACTTTATCACCATTTAATCTACACTGTATCTCCCACCGTTACCTAGGTCCTAATGGTGAGCCTCGAAATTGAACCACCCTGTACAATGATATAATGTTGTACAGAGTGTAGCGCCAGATCCCTCGGATCATAACTTCTTTACTATAAAAGATACCAAAAATTCCCAGGGGCGTGCTGTATTCCAGTGGCGTATCAAACTTGCATTTTTTTTAATGGAACACCCCATATTTATTACTGATTTGGAGTCACATAATTTTTTAGATACTTTATCGAAAAAATAAAATGTTTGATTGACCTTCGCTAAATGTTATATTTTTTTAAAAATTTTAAATTTAGAGAAAAACCAAGTCGAACCGCCAATTTGTAAATAAAAAAAAAATGACATTTAGCGAAGGTCAATCAAAAATTTGATTTTTCCGATAAATACATAAAAAAAATTATGTGATTGTGGAAAAAGGTTATAACAGTAAGAAAATATGGGGTGTTTGTTCCATTTAAAAAAATGCAAGTTTGTTACGCCACTGAAATACAGCACGCCCCTGGTGATCAAATAGTATATTAAGATACAAGTGTATAATCAAGTCTTTAAAGCACGCGCAACGAGTTTAAGGGCACGACGCAAAGCGGAGTGCCTTTAACGTTGCAAGTGCTTTAAAGACCAATTATACTGTATCTCATATACAATGAAGTCATATTGACGTTATACTCGGGTGGGCTGGGTGTTCGTAATTTCACGATTGCCATGGAAATGTCACTTGACGTTTGCTTATAAAAATCATCGTCTTTGTGAATTAAACTATTTCCGTTGAAAAAGATAATACACCGCCCATTAAATCGATTGTTGTAAAATCTAAACAAACGTTGGTAGGTGTAAAATCCAACTCCAGTACCTAAAGCCTATTATAAAGAATATGAAAAGTTGTTTCCATGGATGAATAGGAAGTTACTTACGAATACAGTATTAAATGCATCCATAATGCTGGCATATATGAAGGAAATGTCAAAGGTATTTAAATCTTCTATATTTTGGTGCATTCATTCAAAACTTTAAAGCAATGCTGCGATTAAAAAGTGGAACAGATTTGGAAGCATACCCTAAATTACGCGCGTTTGTGAAAGCTTCAACCAAAGGATAAGTACAAAAGCCAAAGAAATGTTCTGCATTTACAGAAAGCGACCTAAGAGGATTTTTTATTTCATCCAGATGACAGTTTCAAAAGTCATACTTGAAGTATCGTTACTTAGCAACTTTAAAGCCCGTGTGTTTTAAAGGCCCTTTTTCGCACGCATTTGAGTGTTTAAAACGGAGATTGTGATTCAGGTATAATAAAAAATATTTTAAAAATATGTCGGCGGTAATTGGGTACAATTTTCCTCTAAGACTTTTTTCGGTACCTATCTTTTATGGTAAAGGAGTTATGATCCGAGGGATCTTAGGTGCTATTCTCTGTATAATACCCTTTGAATTGACTCTATTAGTGTGACGTTGATTTTCTCGCGAAATTTGATTTGTAGGACTTGTCGAGTGGGTACATAGTCGAAGATTTTGACACTTTTATAGGTACATTTTGTCCTTCGGATATCGAAACCGTGATCACTTAACTTTTAAACAGAATAAATACGGTTAAGTGAAAACATTGAATTTATAAATTCAATGGTGAAAATCATTAATTGCTCTAGAATTTAAAACTAAAAAATGGGCGTACAACGTTAATGAAGACGATGGTACGTGACTGCGCCATGGCGAAAACCAAATCAATTCTAACTTTGTCCTTCTATTTACTTTTTCTGCTGTTGTTCGATTTCTTGCTATCAGGCATGTACTAAAAAAAATACTATAAAGGCAAGAAATCGAACAATATAAGAAAAAATCAATAGGAGAAAAATGTAAATACAAGGATAAGGTTAGGATTGATTCCGTTTTCATCATGTGCAGTGTGAGCTTTTGCCTACTTCGATCAAATATTACCTATTAACATTGAATAAAAAATAGTGTTTTTATTCAATGCTATGAATCAGGTGCCTCGGTTGTGCCATGTCATTAATGTTAATCCTAGAAACAAAAAAATATTTAGCTGGGAAGTGATGATCTTAGGGGTCCCTAATCCAGTTCTGTAACTTTCATGGCCGTTTGCACCGACAAATTTAAGTGGAGCTTAGCTTAATCCATGGAAACGATTGTTGAAACAATAGTTTCATGGATTTTAATCTACGCTTAAGGCTTAACTTAAGCTAAGTTCCGCTTAAATTTTTCGGTGCAAACGGGCATCAGTTATCATATACCATAGAGGAATTCCTCTATGGCTATACCTACCTCCATCAATTACCTCTATTTAAAATGGATACCTAGCACATATGGGATGTGCAGTGAATTTTAGAGAAATTGAAACGTCTTCAACTTCAACGTATTGGTGAATCTGCATTGTAGCTTTTTTTTAAAATTTCCAAATTACATTTTATAGGCAACTAACAATACAACAATCATTTTAGTTCTTGTTTATGTCTACTGCGCATGACGCCTAACACGAGGTCGTAATTTGCTTTCTTGTTCATCCATTTTTTATTCAGGTCAGTGAGCTCCACTAGTTGGAAACTCTGCGGAATGAAGAAAAATACACTCTATAATGGCAGTGTTGCCATTCAGTTATGTTATTTTCTACTGGTAGTTAAGAGATTCGCAATGTTTTAACATACAGGATATATGTACTCTCCTTTTTCGTGATTCATACATTGATTACATAATATTATTATAAAATACCGGTCTAACCACGTGCACATCAAAACATAAAGAAAATGACAACAGACACAACATATAAAGTAAAATTTAAATAGTATCGAGTCAAATGTAGTCAAAGAAATTAATAAAAACGAGCCACGTCACGTAAAAAATAACTAGGTACAAATGAATACAATGGAAAACAAGATCAATTTAGCACAGATACACATCTACGATGCAATTTAGACAAATCAACTGATAAAATGATAAATTGCATATACAGTATACAAAAAGAAGCATCAAAATGGCATTGCTCTACTCCAGCATCGGGTTCCATTCATTTAAGACGAAAAATGCCGGCGACAACGCAACCAGTATTCATGTTAAAGTCGATTATTTCAAATAGAACCACATACAAAATAGAAGAAAATTTAATTGGAGGACCCCCTTTATTATATTGCACACTTTGAGAAACGCTGATGTTAAACTAAACTAATTCGGGTTTAAAAAACGGTCTTTACCTGCACAAGAGTTGTGCACAATTTATGTTTATTTTTTATTAGCGTTATCTATGGTTCGTATTAAGTACCACGATACTGTATAATTTGAAATAAAAACGAAATTATAAACCGAGTTATAAACGAACCAACACAATATTAAAACTAGGAAAGGGGTAGTGCGGTGGGTAATAATAAACCATTATATTAATTAAGATATGTTATATTTAAAAGCTAACCCGTTATCATATACAATCTAAGCCTACATAACCCATACGAACAGAGAAAATTCAAAATGCAATAATGAAGGCAGAACTTCTCACTAACCATTCAACTTATACAATTTTGGCGTAATCTACAATGCTTCATTTTGGCATTATATACTTGAGTTAAGTAAAATGTAACAATATATTAACAATTTATAATACAATATCACAATCATTAAAAATCATATAGAGGCAATTTTACACAGGCTATTCAGTTATACTTTGCAGCAATGTATACTCCTCAAAGTAAACTTTTTTGCAATTCTAAATATTATGTAATCTACTTATCTCACAAAACTTGTTTTTAACTGGCCCCATTACTATTTATACCAACAAAACTATGTATTGCTTTTTCTTAACATATAGACATTTTCGTAACATTAATAACAATAGATGTGATTCGTGTAATAATAGGTATTTTAGTATCTATTCAATCTTGAGACATTTAAAATTATTTTTTCTAATTGCGCTTTTATAAAATTTTATCACAATTATTTAGTAATTGCTATTTCTAGTCAAAAACTGTTCCCAATTCAAATGATCGTAACATAAATTATAGACTACCACTAATTCAACACCCTGTATTACTCCTACGATTATTTTCAGTTTGGTGGAGTAAATATTTTAAACGTCCCAAAATATGAAACTAAATATATTCAGATGATTGTTCGTTCGTTTGAGTTGGTACGTCGATTGAGGATCAAACGAAGGATCTATTTTAGCTGTGCTACAAGAATTTAAGCGTTTAGGGATAAATAATGGCTCTGACGGTACCAACCTAAATAACAAAATAAGGAATGGATGAACTTGTTGATAATGTGCTATACTATACAAAAATAAACTTAATGTATTACATACGTTTTTAGGCCTTTATAACTTGTAACTTGATATTGTCAATATACTGATTACTACTTAAATTATTTCTCCTAATTTTATCTGCATTTTATAGAAAAGTTGACTTTTAAATGTAAAAAATAACTATCAAGAAGTCAATTTAAACAGAATAATAGTTTTTTTCTTGAAATTAATGGAGATGTCTATTTGAATTTCTCTATGTATCACGCATTATATTGATATAATATATGTCGACATCCATTAATTTCATATAATTATGTAACAATTTAAGCTAAGAATCTGGAATCTATGCTACAGTACCGACTATTCTTAAATAAGATCTTCTAACTGTTGATTGTACACTCGTTTTGATGTCTCAGACTATGCACTTTGTAATTGACTGGCTTACATAGCAAAACTTGAAATAGCTACCTATTATAATTCATTTATAATTTACACCTAATCTACACGTTGTAGTAACGTAATGGAAGCATAATTTTAATATTTACTCTTGTAGGTATTGCATTAGATACTTATACGATTTGAAATTAAGATATTAAGTACTTTTTACAACGGTTTGTAGATAGAGCGAATTAATAAATTTCTATTTTGTCGGTAAATGAAATTCGGAGTGTCGACTTACCCCAACTTTAAAAATTCAGTCAAAATCAGCTGTCTTCTTGAGTATCACTGTCTTGTTCCAAGTTCACAATAAAGTGTTCTAATTCACTATTTTGTAAATGATCTTCGTTTTCATCGTCCTCGTGATTGTATTCCTCACTTTCTCTATGCACTAATACTTGCACTACGGTAGATTCGCTTTGCTGTCTTTGCAAAGTCGGTCTAGAAGAGGGAGAGTCTGGAGAAGGTTCGGTGACGAGGATGCTAACGTCGGTTTCTTGCTCCGTTTTATTTGTGTCCTTCGCCGGTTTATTTTCCGTTTTTTTTCGAAAAGATCCTTTTTTCTCGGAGGGTTTCCGTTTAATTAAACTACCCTTTCGCACGGCGAACTCGTCCGATTGCTGCGAAGGGTTAATGGGTGACGGTAAACTTCCGGTTTTGAAAGACTTTTTAAACATAGGCGGCGAAGTTACATCGTAAGGTGTTTCTACGGCGTCCTGATGTCGCAAGAAGAAATTGTAAATGCTACGTCGTCTTGGATGCGCAGGCAACGAGGGCGTTGGTGGAGAATTTCCCTGAGGCGTAGCTCCACTTACCATGATATTGACATCGTGGGACTCGCGCGCCAAGTCCAATTCCTCAGGGGCCATGTGCGCCGCGCTCGACAGCAAGAGCAGCGGCAAATTCAACCAGGGACCACCTAACTCGCTCAGATCGCTCGCGTCCGAGGCCCGAGAGGATTTGCGAGAAGATGCGCGACTCCCTCGATGTACGTGCAAAAATGCGGACAGTCGTCCTTGCCAACCGCCGCCAGGTGATGAGGTCTGAGTTTGTTCGTCTTCAACGTCTCTTTCAAGTTCCCGCTCTCGTTCTCTTTTTCTTCTACAAATTAATTATATAAAAAGTTATCGAGGCATTTTACGTTTGGACAACACAACATATAAAGACATCGTTCCACACCACTTGCTTGCAACACCAAAGCTTTTAAAGAAATTTGTTCTTACTTGGTATACTCCCGATAGGTTTTTTGGATTATTTTAGCAGCTTTGTCTTGGCGTTTCCATATGCGCGTTGAAGATACAATTTCTAATTGTTTTCTTGTGGGGAACTGCTTCTTGAACTTTATGTCCATTTGCTCTTGTAACTGAAATTAAACAGTTAATCATAGAACAATCTTCAAAGTGATGTATAAGTGATGCGAACCTTTTCATGTGAACGACTTTAAAAATTAAAAAATCAAATGTGGACCCATGTTCATTTTCGACTCGATATCATATAAGAAACACGTAGTAAAGTTTTATCCCTTTCCTCGTGAGACACCCTGTAGGTATGTATATAAAAATTTAAAAAAATTCAAATGCATAGCGGGCTCCCGTTACATCGCCCGGTTCCACATTTTTTAAAAATGTTGGTCTTTCCTCGCGGGATACCCTGTATTTTGGATTATAGTACGACTGCATATCTACGACAGCCAGACAGATTCGAAAAACGTGGGCCGTCATAAAAACAGACGCAAGTTGTCAATTTTGCGTTGGTTCCGTCGTTAGACTTTAGCGGCTGCAAATTAAATTCGTTTTTTGATCGCATACACTCTAAATTCGGAGAAGTGTGAGCCGAGTCAAATGCAATAGCTACTTATTTATGAAATGTCCACGAGTTAAATACAAGATTTTATCCAAAACCGCTCAATGAGCAAGTTATTAGTATTAAAACCGTTAATTTTTTACGAAATGGGTTGTAACTGTTACAAGCCGGTAGGTATTATAAAAAATACTTAACTATATTATCAGGGTAACAATGTTGTTAAAGCATGTGATTTTAAGTTTTTTCAAAGAATAACATCATTCCTTGCAAAAAAATTGAATCACACGGTTTAACAACATTATTAGTTGACAACATACGCTTTATAATACCGGCCGATAATATGACAATTATAAATTCATAATTTATAAACCGAGGTATCCATGGAGTTGTGATTATTTATTTGAGTAATCAAAATACTATAATTGAACGTATAATGACTTGGTTTTGGATCACTTATTTAAAGAGATAACTACCAGCTGTATACGCTCGAAATAAAGTGCTCACGCTACAGTTGACGTTACATATATAAAGTAGGAATTTTGGCAGTCCCCTCCTCCTTAAGGAAAGAGGTTCATATACCACCGAATCAATACGAACCTTGACCTAGGGAAATTCTCAGCAAGACGAATTCTACGGAGATTGACGCTACCTCAAGCTAATACCATTGAATAAAAATAGTGTTTTTATTCAATGCTAATACGGATTAGAAGGTCTCGTGACTTTTGTTATTTTGTTATAATCCATTCGCCGTGATCTAAATACGAGTATCTTAGGGGTACAATAGCAAGTTTAGTTCGTTTTCAATAACTGGTTATTTGTATTGGTGTGGGTTTTTTAGTTTTTGAACTAGTTGGATTATTAATTTTATTGCATAGAGTTTCAGTTTATGAAATTTCTTCTCGTTGGCGAGTCAGTCGGTGGCGAGCGGTCCGGTGGCGAGTCGCCCTTGGCGTGTTGACGCGTACCGCGACCAAGGTCAGAATACTGGTATCTTAGCCCCCCTCCTTCCCCTAAACATTAGTTATTTCCCGAGATATTGTTTTTTGAAAGTAAAGCTTTTATACGCAACAACCAATTTGCCTCAGATTTTTCATACGTTTACCTTTAGTGGTTCCACGTGAAACTTTTGAAAAAGGGGGGGGGGGGGTGAGCATACGTTTTACCCTTCATGGTATTATAATGAAAGGTCACATCAAAATAAATTGGTTTGCACAAAGTATAAGTTTCTCAACAAAAAGGAACTGCTCTCTATCAACTACCGCCTTCTTTCTTGTCCCTTATCAAAATAGGGGGTGTAGGGGGAGGGGGAACTGGTTTTATTTTTCATGTTACTCTAATGCTTAGATTTTTGCATTATACTGTGGGATGTATAAATTTTAATTAACATCCCTATTGATCCCGGCACAGGAAATCAGTCAAAATGCAAGATTGAGGAAATTTGGCAAAAATGTCCCCTTTTTTTTCAAAATGGCGGCCATTTAAATAGCTATTTAGTTTTGAAATATTTAAATCACCACCATTTTGGAAAAAAAATGTGCAATCACAATTTCAATGTTTGTTCAATAGGTTTAATGGGAAATGACCCATACTTTGAAATAGTGGTTTTTTTTTCTTGTAAGTTTAATATGTGAAATAAAGGTTTCTCTATGTCTAATAATAGGCAATTTGATTTGAGTGATTCAATGGCATCATTTTTTATATACAAAAATAAAAATATAAAAAATAACCATTTTCAAAATGGTGGCCACTTTAATACTTCAAAACTAAGTAACAAAATACGTAATTAAATGGCGGCCATTTTGAAAAACAAGTTCGTTTTATGGTGGGGTCATATAGTGACATAGTTGTTATTTTTCTATTCACCTATGAAATAATTTATAATGTAATAATTTATGCTGATCCTTTATACTAAAATTGTTTGCCAAATTTGCTAAAAATGCACTATACTGTATTCATTTTAAGAAGGTAGCGCTAGAACGCATATGGAAGCTTTGATCTTCACTGTGATTGGTTAAAACACGAGTCAGTGTTACGCTGAAACATAAAACTACTGGCGAATTTTGTAAGCTGGTAGTTTATGTGGCTAATTAAACGGACGAAGTGTCATTGGCTGTTAATGTCACACATTTATTTCCGTTCGCAGTGCTGGATATTTCTACTTTACAATAATTTTGTGCCGTTTTATATTTTTACTGTGTGTGTTTATCTTCAAACATAGCGCCATAGCGAATGAAGTATAGTGTTTTTTGACTTATTCATTTTCGAACCAAATATCGCATTATCCGTTCCTATATGACTGTCATGATTATATGTATAGTCCCTACTAGGGACAGGAGACACAGTCGGTACAATGATGGCGGCAGTCAATGACCTCGAATAAATGTTCATCAATATATATTTGTTATTATTGAATGTAACATGACATGGCGCTGCGAGTGAGTTATATAAACGCGAAAAATTGCTAAGTGCGATTGTGTGCCGAGGACTGTAGTGTCCAAAACCAAAATACGGTGTGAAAACTTTTGTGTTTTTACTGAAGTTAGGTTAGAGTTGTTTTCGAGTACTTATTCCATACTTGTACAATGGAAGGTTTAAAGCCACCAAGTCCGATGAGCTTGGAAGGAGACGTAGGAGTAAATTTTAGAAAGTGGAAGCAACAGTTTGAAATGTTTATGTTGGCTTCGGGCTTGGATGTAAAGGCAAGTGTGTCCAGTGAGCAGAAAGTGGCAATACTATTACATAGTATTGGCTCAGAAGTGTATGAAATTTACACTACATTAGAATTGTCGGATGAAGAGAGAAAGAGTTGGAAAGAAGTACTTAAAAAACTTGAAGTCTACTTTAAGCCGAAGGAAAATGAAACAATAAATAGGCATATGTTTCACACCAGACGACAGAAAGATGGGGAGAGTATAGACAGTTTCGTGACCGATCTGAAAAAGTTGGCTCAAAGTTGCAATTTTGGAGATGTCAAGGATAGCTTGATACGTGATAGAATTGTATGTGGTGTAATAGATCATAAGGTGAGAGATGCATTGCTTAGGGAGACAGAGCTCGACTTGAAGAAATGTGTGGATATGTGTAGAGCAGCTGAGCTGGCGAATTTGCAGTCGAAACAGATTGGAGAATGTGGATCAAAGATTGATGCAGTGTCGAGGAAGCCAAAGTACAAAAAGGAGACGAGGGACGACCACCATGGAAAACAAAGCAGGTGTAAAGCATGCGGCTTAAAGCATGGAAAAGTGTGTCCAGCGTTTCGTAAGATGTGCAACAAGTGTAAGCAATACAACCACTTTGCGGTTATGTGTCCGTCAAATGTGTCGTCAAGTTCCTCGAAGAAAGCAAAAGTGTATGAGGTTCAGGAAAGCTCAAGTGAGTTGGAAGAAACCGATGGAGATGAAATGTTCGTGGGGATGGTGAAGAAGAAAGAAGACAATGTCAAGTATGTCAATGGCATTAGCGAGTGGTTTCAGAAAATTAACGTAGGTAAGCACAGCATTAATTGTAAAGTGGATACGGGAGCTGATGTTAATATCTTGAACCTAAAAGTTGCAAAGGATTTAAATCTCTATGTAAGACCAAGTAAAGTCAAGTTAAAAAGCTATAATGATTCTAAAATTGATGTCGTGGGTAAGACAACATTAGAATGCAGAATAAAGGAGAAAAAGTATGATGTGGACTTCCAAGTAGTAGATTTAGACGCACCCTGTATAATTGGACTACCGTTTATAGAAAAGTTCCAATTACTGAAAAAAGTACATGCAGTGGAACAAAACAACGTAGAGTATTTAATTAAACAAAATGAAGATTTATTCAAAGGCATCGGTGAGATGAAGCAGAGTTGCGAAATTAGACTCAAAAGTGAGATAGAACCAGTTACAGAACCACTGAGAAGAATATCATTGAGCTTGCAACCTAAAGTTAAGCTCGAGTTAGAGAGAATGGTAAAAAATGGAATAATTAGAAGTGTGACTGAACCGACGGAGTGGTGCAGCTCATTAGTAACCGTCAAGAAGCCCGATGGTTCACTGAGGTTATGTTTGGACCCTCAGAATTTGAACAGAGCTGTAATCAGAGAAATTTACCAAATCAGTTAAAGTTTTATTATAGCATTAGAGATACCTTATTTGTGATTAATGATTTGCTTTTTAGAAATGAAACTGTTGTTGTTCCAAAAAGTTTAAGATCAAAAATGTTAAAATTAATTCATTGTAGTCACTTTGGAATTGAAAAATGCAAATTAAGGGCAAAAAGTGTTTTATTTTGGCCTCACATGTTTAAAGAAATTGAGGATGTAGTAAAAAATTGCAGTTCTTGTTTAAAATATCAAAGAAAACATGGCCATGAAAAGTTATTATTAAGAGACATACCGAATAGACCCTGGGAGATAGTAGGGGTAGATTTATTTTATTTTCAGAATAAGACCTTTGTTCTAGTGATCGATTATTATTCAAAGTATGTTGATTTTAAGGAATTACGTGCTGAAACTACTGAGAATGTTATTGTTGCACTAAAGTCAATTTTTTCTTTGTTTGGAAAACCAAAGATCATTTATAGTGATGGTGGACCACAATTTTTCAGAAGTTTTAAATTTAAAGATTTTATTAGAGAATGGGGTTTACAGCACCAAACCTCAAGTCCTTATTATGCTAGATCTAATGGCATGGTGGAAAGATATGTGCAAACAATAAAAAATATGCTTAAAAAATCAGTTGACTCGGGACTAGATCCATATATAGCCTTAATTGAGTACAGAAATACACCGATAAGTAGCGAAATCAATAAGTCCCCCAGTGAATTGGTTTTTGGACATAAAATTAATGCCTTTCTACCTACCACTGAAGATTTTTTTTTAACAAATGAACAGTCTATCAGAGATAAACTAAAACATTCTCAAGAAAAATATAAGTATTTTCATGATAGAAAAAATAATGTAAAACCATTGTCTTTCGAAAAGGGAGAAATAGTACACATTCGAGATAAAGTTCATAATATGACACCGGTAAAAGTAATAGGTCCAGCAGATAGACCTCGTTCTTACCAAGTACAGTTACCTTCAGGTAATATAGTAGATAGAAATCGGCATAATATGTATAAAGCGTCAACACAATTTCGCGTAGATGAACCTGTAACCTTAATGCAAAATAGTGAACAAGTTCAAAATCCTGAAAAGACAGAAAATAGTAATAATCAGGAATCTCGTCAGGAATTAAGTTCATTAATTAAGCCAGAAGTTTCTTGTAAAACGCGAACTGGAAGGGTAGTTAAGAAACCCCAATATTTGTCTGATTATGTTGTAGAATAGTATAGTATTTAAGTATCTCTGTAAGTTTTGTTTGTATAACTTTGTTTAAAGAAAAAGGATGTCATGATTATATGTATAGTCCCTACTAGGGACAGGAGACACAGTCGGTACAATGATGGCGGCAGTCAATGACCTCGAATAAATGTTCATCAATATATATTTGTTATTATTGAATGTAACATGACATATGACTATTTCAGTATGACATTTGTCAATAATTGATTGATTAATGATGATGATTTCTTGTTCGTTAAATTGTCCTGCCGAATTACACTCGAGGTTTGTATTGAAACTGAGTAAATTTGGGTTGTTGCAATTCAAATCTGTTTCCTTTTAGCAATTGAACTCGTCTCGTCTCGTCTAATTGCTAGGCAACAGATTTTCATTACCTAAACAACCCAAATTTACTCAGTGAAATACAAACCTCTTGTGCAATTATAAGTGAAAAATACAATTCAGTCGCCATCTTGAATTTTGACTGATTCCTGGGCCGGGATTAATGGTGCTTTTGAAAATGTTAAAATTGACACTTTTCACAATAAAATGCAAGAAGGATCATTTGTGCTGAAATTTTACCCAGGTCAAAGGAATTTTTACACCATTCGTTCGATAGGTTCGCCACCACTGTTTTATGTTGTACCTACACAAAACTTACCTGACGGAAAGTGTCAGTTTCTTCCACGTGTCCAAGAACGTGCTTCACCAACGCGTGTAAAATATCCAAGCAATGTATCTTATTTCCTTTCGCTATTGGTAGGTTAAAACTCACTAAGGCAACTGTATTTGGTTTCGAAATTCCCAGAGGAGGGTCCAGCGACGCTATGAAATCGGACAGTTGAGAAAACCGAATGAACTGCGAAGCGTGTGGATCGTATCTAAAAACAAAGATGTAGAACGGGTACCTTCCGTGCTCACTTACTTTGACCATCGGATATAAAACATTTCTAAATCATCTTCAACAATACCGATTTCTTCCTCTTGATGCGCTTGGTTGAAGTTTTCCAAGATGATGGCGATGTACATGTTGATAATGATCATGTAATTGATTATGATAAAACTGGTAAAGTAAGTAATGGATAACAAGGGGTAACCGCAGTCGCCGTTTCCCTGCCCTTTAAATGTCGGGTCGCACTCTGGAGGTTCAATCATTAAAGATTCGAGTACGTCATTCCACCCGGCTGAGGTCATCAAACGAAATAACAAGTGCATCGAATGTCCAAATGTTTGAAAGTTGACCATATCATCCAAAGCTCCGGTTTGTCGGACATGTCCGAACAATGACATGCCAATTATAGCATAGATGAATGTGACAAGAGCGAGTAATGCGCCGATGTTGAATAGGGCCGGCAGTGACACCACCAACGCAAATAGTAACTTCCTAATACCCTTGGCAGCCTTAAATTTAATTACATGTACTATTTTGTTTACTCATTTCGCACTTACCTTGATTAATCGCAGTATTCTACCTATACGAAACACGCGCACAACTCTGAGGAGGGTCGGGGAGACTGGAAAATCGATCATGATATCCTCCATCAGTATCCCTAATATTGAAGCTAATACCAATAAAAAATCGAAGACGTTCCATGGGACCGTAAAGTAATGATAACGTAAACCGAGCATTTTCACTATCGCTTCTGAAACAGAACGTGAAAAGGAAGCGCGTTAATTACAAAACGGTTAACTTACCTAATCCAAAAACTGTGGTAAAAAAGGCGTTACTAACTTCTAGAATAAAAAATACTGCGTGGGGTTGGTTGTAATGTTCAATTCCCATCGTTAACATATTCAAAAAAATTAAAATGAAGATAGCAATTTCGAATCTTCTCGAGTTGGAAAGATCGTAGAACATCGCCAGAAATTGATTCAACGGTCTTTTGATAACCTTCTGTGGTTTTTTCCTCCCCAACTTCTTCATAGCCGTATAGTAGTGCTTTTGGCTTTCGGTTAGAAACATTTCCAAAACCCCTCCTTCGTACTAATTTCGATTAATGCAAACTCAATGCGCGCTCGCTTTAAGGGTACTTACCTTCTTTTTTAACATGTTAAAGTTGTCGATTATTACGCCAATGAATAAGTTTAAGGTGAAAAAAGAGCCGCACACTATGAATATGACAAAGTAGATGTAAGCGTAAAGATTGGCTTCCCTTTGAGGTTGTAGGTGCACGCCTCTAGCGTCAACTGCATCCGCCATTACTTCCATCCATCCTTCAAACGTTGCCTGAAAGGTAAATGAAATTTAATACTCACACACATGAATGGAACGGATTTTTTCGTTTATGTGTCTGTCGGCCGACCAACTCTGGTAAATCACTAGACAACCTATAGAAAACCAATATCGGCTATGAAACACATGGTCGCTTTAGACTTAGAAAGATTTGGAATTTACAAATTTGCCAGTATAGGAAATTTTATGCGTGTACAGCTCCATAGAGAAAGAGAACGGAACTAAAATATGAGAGAATGAAGCGCTTTCAGATACAAAGCGAGTATACAAACTGATAATAGTAAAAAAAGTCACAGTGTTTTCGGTGCTAAAAGCCGCTCTGACGGAGCATGATGGACGGCGTTTCTGTAATACCTTTGCATGTATAAAAAATGTAGCCGAAGCTTGTTTTGCGTTGGGGTCGTTTCAGTATTCGGGCTGGGCGAGTACATAAGTAAAAATTAGGTGGGAGAGAAGGATTCTTCGCCGAACTTTCGAAGAGAATTTTCAACTAAAATTTGCAAGACGAATTCGTATAATCGAGATAAATCGCCGCGTAATCGTACGTGATATTTTTATCGCGAAAGTTGCAGTTAATTGCCGCATTATAAAAGAAAACTGAGCCACCATTTAGACTAGTGGTTCTCAAACTTATTTCCATTGAACCACATTTCATAAAACTGAAATTACTCACGCTCCGCCCTCCCCCACTCCGATTAAAAAATAAAAAGTGCTGTTAATACAAGCGTATTTATTAAAAAATTACAGTTTTTTTTTCATTATGGGGACTACCGTAAGAGATACAAAGCCGTTGGCGTCCATTTATTTTCAAAGATATAAAAAAATAATTTTAACAAAAGCTTGGTAAATTTTTCTCAACTTTCTGACGGTGCTAAAAAAGTTGTGGCCCATAAAATATTATGTTTTTCAATCAAGTCGGATATTGCATTCATAACATCAACGGCTTTTGAGGTCGTTTTTAGCTCATTCGAGATCTTTTATAGCACATTAGCAACATCATATATCGCACACTGGCAACATTGCGCAACATCAATAGAAAGGCCAATTTAATAATACTTTATTAGCGTAGTTTATCACAAGATATTTACAAAGTACAATAATAGAAAACTTTACCGAATTGTAGATACCTTATTGGCGTAAGAATTGGTCAAATACAATCGTACATAAAAATACTTAATACAAATATTTTAAAAGTAAATATTTACCTCAAACATATCGGGGATCTCGCGCCCCCTTTAACAACGCCTTGCGCCCCCCCAGGGGGGCGCGTCCCCCCCAGTTTGAGAAACACAGATTTAGACGAAATCTATTACGAGTTTTTTTATAACTAAAACTAATATAAAGTGGCGAATTTACGTTAGCGAACATTTTCTTGTTATTTCATTATTGGATTGGCGTGCTTGAGTTCAAATAAATTGTTACCACGAAAGCGTTGTGGTCGAGGGTGTGGAAGGTTCATAGCTTATATTTGAAGTGGTTGGCTGCGATAAAAAACAACTTTACTAACCAAATTTGTGTAGCTATCTTGTTTATATGGGGTGACAATAAGATTTAATTTAAACGGCAATCGGTCGATCGTTTGGGGATTTCGTATAAAAAATTTTTTTGCTCATAGTCAATTTAATATTCCTGATGAGGTCGACCCACGGAATTGAACAGTGAACTGAACAGTATATTTTTTATGAATGATAAGCGAAACCAAATAAAAGGTTTTGGTGATTTTTTCTTTTTAGTTTAATTGTGAAATTGAATTTTTTACCACAGTTTTGTGTGTGTTACATTTTATTTACCATCAAGAGGTGTGTAAATCTTTTAAATAGGAATGAAAAAATGAAACACGTGTTGAATTAATTATAAATATTAAAAAATCTAGATAATTAATTAGATTTGGAACGGGATCGCGAGATAGAGCACGAAATTTTAACTGATATATTCGTTGAATGAATTATACTAAAATTTTAAATCACGAACGAAGTGGCCTTCCAACATCGGTTTGGAAAATGCCCTAAAAGTATATGGAAAAGGGAATAAGCAGAAATAATGAAAGTTTGCATTGAATCTGGAATTGAAGAAATATATACAAACAAAGAGCGAAGCATTTTTTTTTGTAAAACTACGCCTTGAAGCTAGAAATGTTAAAAATGGCAAAATAAACTTAGGAGGCTCCGAAATATACATACATAATACATGATTATTGTTTTTAACTACTTGGCGTGTTTAGTATCAAAAATTGTAAGTTTTTACACATTAAAACTTTATTTAACTTAAATTTATTACCTTTTTTGGGCCTATACGCCCTACTATTCAGCTTAATCCTAACGAATGCCATTTGTCAAATTTCTTATGATTGTTTGGAACCATTAATTATTGTTCTTTATACAATTATCAATGAATTTAGGAATCGAGGAAGAACAAGTTTGACCAGTGAAACAATACGTAGGAGTTACGACAGAAGAAAGTTTTAACCAGGACATTGAAATAAACGAGAGGGTATAACAAATGCACCAAGAACCACAAAAATAAATGTTTTTATGGTCAGATTCATACTCTTGTAGAAGATATTCTAGTAATCCCGATCGACATCGAGACGCCATGAAAGATTAGTCATCGGTGATAAGAAACTAAGGCGGATGTGGCGCATTCTTTACGGGAAATATCATGTGTTTGTTCTAGAACATTCGGAAGCGTTCGGGAGCACTCTAAGGACATTCTAGGACGATTGTATTTGCTATATAAGCGAATCGATTGTGTTTTGAGTTAGTCTCAACATCGATGCGCTCGTGTTATGTTATAAATTGTGAGTAAGTAATTAATTGTAAATAAATAAATTAATTAAGCTGGTATGGTCAATGGTACAAAGACGCATCAACCAAAAACTGGTATAACATATTTGGGAAGCGAAGGTACATTGACAAAGACTATAAGATGTTAACCAAAGAACAGCTGGAACGAAGTAATTAGCGAGATATTAAGCAGAAGAGAGACGACATGGAGAAAAGCTAAACAAATGGCAAGAGATATGAGCCTTGTTTCAAAGATTTCTGCTATTCTGCTGAGATCTTCTACTCTCTGATGGATGGACTGTATTTATCAAGTCTAAAAAAATACTTACCACTTGAAAAAGTGCCAAATAGGCTATTCCCACATGATCAAACGACACTTTGGAATTGATCCAGGTAAAATTATTGGCATGGCAGTCGTACTTATTTTCTATAATCTAAAAACACAAGACGTTAAATTAATTTTGACTTACTCTACCTCGTTTCTTACAGAAATTGGTAACAGTTCACCTTCTTCATCCACGCATTTGTAAAATTTTCCTCCAAAAAATTGTACGCCCATAATCGAAAATATTAGCCAAAATACCAAACATACTAACAGTACATTGAAAATGCTAGGTATTGCGTACATTAAGGCGTTAACAACTATACGCATCCCTTGCCATCGACTTATTGCCCGAAGCGGTCGTAACGCTCGCAACGTCCGTAATGAGCGAAGCACTTTCAAATTTTCATTTTCTTCTATTAATAAGCTAAACATCGATACCTGAAAGTGAAGTATAATTAAACAATTAATAGTCTGGTAATGCTAGCTTTACCCGTTTACCTAATCGTTGCGAACAGGTAAATGGTTAAACAATCAGGTGTATACTTACAAAAACTATAGAAAAATCCAATAATGTCCAAAAACTGGTAAAGTATTTGTGAAATCCTAACGCAACCCATTTTAACAACATTTCTATAACAAATATAATGCAAAATGCAAAATTTGTCCAATACAGTATGTGTTTGAGCCTCGGATTTTCGTCCAAATATATATCTTCAAAACATAACGTGACGCTTGACGCGAAAATTAAAACCAAAATAAACCACTCAAATGCGGGCGTATCCACAACGGACAAAATCGCAGAACGAAGCTTCATAAACTTTCTGAACCACTTAAAATTCGTGCATTTTTCCCAAAAAATACATCTGAAATAGATAGCTAAGCTTGCTGCAATCCGGGCATTCACCCTTACCTATCGTAGCACTGCTTTGGAAAACAGTCTGGTGGCACTTTATCAGGCTTATTCCGACCGAATCCGGGAAATTTTCCCAAACCGTCGACGTACTGCCCCTTCGAATTTCTTCTTCCGCCCACGGTTAATTCGTCAACGTAAGACACTAGTGTCTGCCAGGGGCGGTGTGTTTCGTCCTCTTTGTCTTTGCTTGTATTCGCATACAATGTTGTTTCTTCAGTTTCTGTATCTTCCGAAGTACCCTTGTTTAAATCTTTGAGCTCTACGGTTTCTTCGGTCTCATCTGTAAGCGTTCTTTGAGATTCACATGGAAGAATATCTCACCACCTTACTTTCACTGTAAGTTGTTCCACGACTTGAAGCCACCAACTTCTCGTTGCCTGAACTTCCCTTAATTTCCCCGCTCTTTTCCTGCGAGCTGCCATTTATAACTGTGGAATATCTCTTTACTTCAGTCTCTTCCTGCACAATTTCCTAAATTGTGATATTAAAGCATGAGCAAATTAGATGAGTATTTATAGTAGGTAAGTTATTGTTTTAAAAATAATTAGTTTTGAAATTTCCAACAATTTAATTTCAGATTATAGTGATTAAATTAGGAATGTTTTAGGCAATAAGTTTTCAGCTAAGTTGTTACTTTAACATAACATACATACTGTATTTAGAATACATTAGGTACATTATAATTTACATACAATAGTATAAGTAGTAGTGCAGTATATACATCACATTGCTGAAAGTAAAGATGTGTTTAAACTAAACAGTAACTTGTGTTCTAAGTACCCTGTATATATTTTTTAGTATTTGTTAGGTAAAGATAGATAGTCATTTACAAGGTCATCAGAGGCCATGCTTTAACAGTGTTTTGTTAAATTTAAAATTTGCCGTTATAGGAATAGGAATGAAAACAGAACTTATATTCGAGAAAAGAAAGCACCTTAAGATAAGAAACGAGTGTTCACGCAGATAAGTCGAAATTCGAAACTACTAAGAACGTCGCTGAGATTCATTTTTGTTAATCGTTTCGTTAAGAGACGCTTTGTGAATAAATTGCTGACGAAGTGCGAGTTACCTACAGTCTACATTAAAATTTGCAAGATAGCCTAACTGGTAGCAAGGTAATTCATTTTATGAGTGACAAAATTTACGCGAGGGAACATTTTCGAATTGGAGACGTGCACAAATAAAAATGGAATAGAATGTACTGAATTTTAAACTAATTGTGACAAGTAGAGATTTTTTCTTCGTGGCATCGCTAACAATAACGGCGAGTATCTCGCAAAATAAAACGCGGGATTATTGGTGGGTCTCACCAAGTTCTAAGTAAGATACACGTATATACCTGGAATAAGAGTACGTATTAAAAAAATTAAATTAACGTGTACTAACTATTGTAAATTGTCTTTATGCTTATGATGATGTATTAGAACTGAATCTGATAGGACGAATGCTCTTTTCTGTATATGATGCGAGGGCTTCGAGCTCATATGTGAACATTCTAAATTGCGCTGCAATGTTAGCGAAATAATTGTTTTTTTTTTGCTTTGGCAGTACCAATGAGCCAGCCTAGTTTAGACATTGAACTTTTTAAATTAAATTAAAAATTGATTGTTATATTGGGATTTCTGCCAGTCACGTAGAAATTCAATTTTATTTTATGCAAGTGGGGTAACTGTAACTGGCCCATTGCCAGATCTATTACGACCACCAGACAATAAATCCACAAGAGATGTTGAATTAAGAAGATCTGCACAGCTTGCACATTTTGCAAGAAAAGAACATAATGAAATGATAGTGGATACAATTGCCAGATTGATAATATGCCAGTAGATACTGCAGTATTAGAAAGGACAGAACAAAATTAATGAAGTGGTCAGCAACGGGGAAGAACGCATAGGAAGTAGAATCAAGGAAAGTAAAGTGGAAAAATGCAGTGAAGTAAACAAGGAACGCAAGACAGAACAGACCAAAGCAAAATTAATCTAAAAGAACTTTGAATTCTCCTCGATCATACTCCGTGAGTAAAATTTAATACATAAAAATAAGTTTAAAAATCAATAAATCTTCTGCATTGTGTCATTTTTGTACTTTCAATGTCTCTAAGCATTTATTAGGCAAAAAATGTAATAGGTGCCTTGAAAAACAAACGCCACGAATTAGTTTTAGAGTGTTCGTTCAATCAACTCATGAACGGGCATGTAAAACATGATGGTAAACAGGTCTGGACTAAGAATTTTTTGCACTGTAAGTTTTGTACATGGTGTCCCATTTTCGACATTTTTATAGGGTCCGTAAAATACAAAAATGTCAATGTCAAGAACGACAATATATTCTCATAGTTTAAACAGATACAGAAAAATCTTTATTACAAAAGAGTTTTGTATAATGATTGTTAAATAATCTGCAGTTTTCAAAATATCTATACGGGGTTATCGAACCTAAGCTCATTTTTTGACATTTTTTAAATCATTTAAACCTTTTTTTAAAATGTTTTTGAATCACTTAAGTATCTTATGAATATCATCCCTGGGGTCTAATTTTTTTGAAAAGAGACTTTAATATGCTATATTTTTAGATTACAAAATGCGATCAGGTCGATCATTTTTACCTGACCCCATATGCTTATTTTGAAAACGTCATATTATTCAAGAATCATAATACAGAAACTTTTGTATTAAACATTTTTCTGTATCCCTTTTAACTAAGCATATATAGGGTCATTCTGAAATTGACAATTTTTTGATTTTCCCTCGTAAATTTTAAGCGAACGTAGATTTTCAAATTTTGATTTTACCATTTTAAAGTGTACATGATGACGCCTATATTACTTTTTTGATAGCACTTTGTTAGTGCTATGATAAAGTAATACATATAGGCGTCATACGCTTGGACACGCAAAATCAATCACACTGTATATTTGATGTTTTAAGTAATCATGACAACTTCGCACCTACCTTGGACAGGGTGTCCCATTTTTGATAGCACTTAGTGGTATGAAAAAGTAATATAGGCGTCATACTCTATAAAAGTGTTAAAAATAGGACACCCTGTACATCCGAAGTAGTTGCGAAATTGCCATGATTGCTTAAAACATTAAAGATAGAGTGTGATTGATTTTGCGTGTCCAAGCGGATATTTCTTGTATTATTGGAGATAGGAAAATAGTGTAAGAAGAAAACATACTTGTAACAGTATTTCTGTTCAGGATATTTAAAGTTCATTTTTCGTAATTAAAATGTTAAGTCTAAATGTAATCATGACTCCCAAGTACAAATGCCAATGAATGAGATTATTTCATCGAAAGCAATTTATTTCACTTCATTGAATCCGAATGTGTATTTTAAATGTGGCCGCCATGAATCAGAAAGGAAATGTCGGCCCGTGTAGCGCAGTTCAGTGGAAGCTCGACTGCGGTACAGGGTCCCTGGTTCGAATCCGGGTTCGGGCATGGATATTTGTAAATGTATAGTGGGTTGGGTGGGTAGAGCAGCCTCGGCTGAAACCCCGCCCATTTAAAAATAAAGGCAAAATAAAAAAATAAAAAAAAGAAATTAAACATAAGTAATAATCACGGCGTAAATAGAATTGCGTTCACCGTATGTAAATAATGTAAATTATGGAAAAAACTGCATATAAATATCGAGTAGTAACGCTAGGGTCAAAGTCCGAGTCATTGTAAATAATTCATTTAGAGCTAGTAGAACGACTTAAATCCGCCTGTCCGCTACCGCTGCGAAGACGATCCTTCACGGCACTCCGGAGAAAATTGGGAGGATTGCGAGATTTCCGAAGGAAGTTCGACTTTCGGTTCTACGCGCGGTCCGTGCACAGTCTACTTGGAGGGTGCCGAAAAAGTCGCGTTGAAACTTGCCTGCCTGTGATTGGCCGAACCGAAACTCGAATAGCTGCCAGTAAACATTATCGCGTTGTAGTTTATCATCTTTGTTGTTCGCCCCGACGTAGACTATTGCATTGTAGTTTGAATTTATGCTATTGTATTTAATCACCTACTAGGGTTGCATTCAAATAAGTGCTTGTGAGCACTGTTTGCTTTCATTTTAATGACTCGAGCCTGGAAGAGTTACTACACGCATTTACAGCAGTTTGTTTTGATTTTCGATCTAATTGTATACCAATTTATGAAACAAGAATTAAGTTTCTTTCTGTACTCGGCGGTTTTAGAGTAAATATTTTGATTTTTGACTAACGTAATAAAGGCAGACTATCCTTTCTATGCAGTGAATTTTTGTGAATGAATGAGTTAACCCTACTTTTACAGGAACGTACCGCCACAACCCCCATTTCTTTTGACGTGTGTAATTTACAGCAAAAAGGTGATTCTCTAAGAGAAAAAGGCCGTAATAGGTTTCAATAAAGACTATTGATTTTTATTCATACATCCTTTCCCATTTCCTCGAGGCCAGAAAGGATCATCGACTGAAGCTAGCCGGCGCCCAACAACAATTATTTTATGTAAGAAGAACCACCCCTAAATAAAATAGTTTGAGAAAGAAACGGTAAGAAGAGGTGAAAAGTAACCAGCCGGTTACATACTCTACTTTTAATTTCTGAAAAAGCAACATAGTAAAAAAATCAAGTGATGTAAAAATAAAAGAGCACCAAAAAACAAATTAATTTTTTTAAATAAAACGGTTACTTTTTGCTGTAATATTCTTAAAGAGCTTGAAATTTTCTTTACAATGATATCAAATATATTATAATTACCTTAAAAATTAAAGCTGCAGTAATGTTTTTGAAACCAATCGCAGTAACTGTGGAAATTTAAACAAAAACAAAAGAGAGTTTTTCACTTGTTACGCCTGTCACAAAATCAGTTTAGTGAACAATATAACTTATAAGCACCATAATACAACAAAATAATAATTTCACAAATGATGAAAAAATGTTAAGAGGTGTAATACATTATATAATATATCACACTGTATAATTGCAGATATGGTTCAAATTTACACCATGTGCGGGTCTAACTTTGAACCATGGCAATAGCTTTTTTCGGGAATACACACTACTCTGGGATATTTTTAAGCTTTAAGATATTATCGAACTATATACACCGCGATAATGTACTATAAATATGCAAATAAAGAGATCAGTGTTCGTGGATAGAGCGGGAGGTATCAGGTATGGCAGGTTTATGAAAATCAATCGCCTAATAGAACCAAACCAAGTATTGAGAATAACTGAGGCTAACACCGGATAGACATTTTAATTTGTTAGCGCATTTCTACGAACAATTTTAATCTTACAAGAAGACGAATATTCCTGATTGAGCTAGACGAAATTGAGTTGGAAGAAACAGACAAGATTCAAAAACAGTAAAGTCATATCTAGTGACTTTAAAAAACAGTAATAAACAGCCCCATCTATGGAATTATTTAAAAATTAGATATAGAAAACATTCAATCACTGTAAAAGAAAAGGGTATATCGGGGACAAAAGCATGTAAATAGCAGAAGACAAGAAAAATAGGCCAATTATGACGATCATACAATAGGTACGAAAAATAGAGACGTAGGTAGGTCAAATTTGAAATTTGAAAAGTCTTACTGTTCTTCATATCGGTTGATGATGCTTTTGAAGTGATACAAATCATCAACAAACAACTGCCGTTCGTAGAAATACCCAATAGTTAATTTCGGAATGCGTTTTTCCACGTCTGCAACAATGGCCGATAAAAAGCAATCAATGAACCTAACATGCAACATTTTATATGAAGTGGACTTAATTATTTACAACTTCCCAGTATCGCAGACATTAAAAACAAACGTTCCCTTCTAGTTTGAAGAGAACGATGCTTTGATATTGCGAATTAATACGTTTCGTCAAAATGAATTCATCTCCAGAAATATCTTATTTCTGAAGTTGAGTTCCTATATAATTAATCATCGTGCTGAGTTTATATTATAAAAGTTCGTTTTGTGAGAATTAAGAAATATTTGCGTGAGGGACAACCGCAACTAATTGAGATACTCACTTTAAATTCCCCTTTATCGTAACTGATTAAAGAGATTGGCCTATTCATCGCCTCCTGATAGCTCCGATTGTAAATCTTGTCCGGAGGAAAACCAATTAAAGTTTCCTGGTAAGCCTTTGTGTGTATTCCTAAGCAGACGTTGCGTTTTTACTGTAAGATGGAATGGAAATTTTAAACAAACAATACGCACCCTTAGTAAATTCTCTCTCTTCGGCCTGTCTTTGCATAACTTCTCGAACGATCTGTTCCAAACGTGAATTACTTTCGTTTTGACGAAGTTCTCGAGCTAAGGCACGTTTCCGACGTCGTTGTTGTATAAGCGCTTGGATCCTTTCGAAACTTTTCGCTATGTTTGATTCATCTCCTACTTCCTATAAAAAAAAACGTGATTGGTACTTTTATACGTAAATTAGTTACTTTTAATCTCTTTGGAGATAGAAATAATAATCAGAAGCTGCAATTAAGAATTTAGTGTCTAAATTTCAGTCAACTGGTTCAATACACAACATAACATCAAGTGAACATAAGTACTATAGGTCGTTAAACTGTGAATCTGTTAGTAAATCGCGGCTGAAGATCCAAGTTTGTTAATTCCACGACATTCGCAGCCGATCCACAAGGACCATATGACATATATTTATGCCAAGATTTGGCTTAAACTCGTATAAGATTATCTCGCCTGAATGGGTATTAGCTAATAACGTAATAAGCAAACTTGCCGCGAACCGAAAGTCCAAGAAAGATTACCTTTACATCCAAATTTGAGTTACAAACGCATCTGTTTGAGTCGTCCGTATGCCCCCCCCCCCATCCTAGATATATCGAATGTCCCCTCATTGCAAACATAAACAAGATACAAAGAATCGTATACGATTTCCAATAAGGGAAGCTCGCATTCGAAAACACGACTTTTATTCCGGCTCATATTCAATAGCACTGGTCCTTGAACTCGTACAAATCCATTGACGAAGGTTTCACATCGCTGTCTTTGTCAAATCTTTGTAAAATTATGTCCATCACTAAAATCATACACACATACGCTGCAGGAGTACGATTCCGTGCAAGAATCCGCCAGAAAGTCTTAGAATTTTTGCTGGTGGGGACTTTTCCAAACTGGATTATGGAAATGTCTACACACTTATGACTGGAAATAGCAATTGAGGTTACCTGAAAATGAGGCACTGAGGTGGAGCTGTTCGATGTGTGCTCAAACAAACGCTAATAATCGTGTAAGAACCATATTTTAGGGTAGTCCTTAATAACGAAAAACTAAATGTCAACGCAACCCCTATTTGATAAATGTGGCAAGCTGACTGGTCAAGTATGCGCATTCTGCACATATGGGTCTTAAAGGATCGTGTTAAGGCAGTTAAGTTGCGTACGCGCTCTGGTCACGATCGTATAAGGGATGCTAAGTAGAGCATCGGACGTATTAGTGAGTTTGGTGTAATAGCCCATTAATGTGAGTGTCTCCCACGTGTTGGTGGTGAGTGTCTCCCACGTGTAGGTGGTGAGTGTATTGTGCAGGCCATCGTGCATTGTTGTTGGGCTATGGTAAAACCCCTGGCAGATATCCGGATAATATACCTAGGCTTTTAGAGTGTATTATGTGCATGTGCCTATGACGCGGTCCCGCGGGTAGCTCCCGTTGATTATACCGCTGAGTGATCTACTCGCTCGAGTAGATCATGGTGTCGACCCAATACGAAACATAAAGGCCTCATTGTTAACACAAACAGTTCTGGGGTGAGCTCGACCTAGATGTCATTCCCAGGTAGGGCAGTGAGTGACATAGATCGACGTTACTGATCTATTGGCCGAGGGTCCTAGCGCGGCGTAACCCTTTCCCAAATAGGTCTGAGCTCCATCTTAACCCTTCAGGAAGCCATCTCCAACGACGCATTCAACCCCAATCGCCAACCGGAGTGTTCGGAGATTCAGGAGAGCTTAGTGACAGCTCGGGGCTAACGCCCCCCGGTGAGTTACTTAATTAATTAGCGAGGATCGCGGTTAAGCAGTCGCGATATTTGTTTACATGACCCTTGAGCGCGAAAGACGACCAGTCAGAGTGAATGCTGCCATGCCAACCTCTTATGCGTAGATTACAGAAGGACGTTTCTAATGAACGGTGAGTTTACAGTAGATTTGTCGCATGTTAATAATGAGTTCTGACCAACAATTAGCTCCCATTTTTAGCGATTTCCCTTGTTGTTATATAAAAATACCCCACATTACAATCGAAATCAGCTGTTGAAGACAGAACACGATGTCATTTGTAAACAAAAGCAAACCTACCTTCGTTGGTGCCAACGGAAAAGCACCATGACACCATCTTTGCAACAGAGAAACTGCTCCAGAAAGGAATGGTATGGGAACTTGCCGATTGTGACACGCTATCGGAAAATCGGTTAAGAACATGGGAGATGGAAACGAATGATGGCGAGCCGTCGCATATCCAGGACTGTACCCACGTAATCAAATACGGACTGGATTCGGTTCGATGCTGAGCATAAAAATAACGCGAAATGTGAGACATAGAATTGAAACAAGCTAGAGCCTGAACGTGGTACAGAGTGAGGCGGAATTAAACCAAGCGATAAAGCATCTCTCCCAGAAAAATCGCGTCACCAGTTTTGTGGAAGGATATTCCAAACAGGCGCTTGTCGGTAGGGAAGCGTCCGATATGCTGCAATGTGCTTGACTACCACGACTGGACCAAAAAGACACAGGCCGGCATACAAGTGGAAAACTAGGCAGAGATATCGGGATGCCATTGATCAAGCGGTGATAAGCATAAAAACACGACGGCAACTTGACATGAAATCGGTATTTAACAATGACATACCACCATCCATCGTATGACATATAGCTGGGAACATTTTTTTTTCGAAAACCGGGTTTCTATATTAAAACTGGTAAACACAACAGTCGAGCGTAGTATAAAGCTGGGATGTCCACAGGAAGCTGCACCAGTGCCATTAGTTAGATATGAAGAACCCATACAACCAGCGAGTATGGTACATGAATATGTAAGGTGCGAGAGGTTAAAGCGCTTCTTCTCGTGCAAAGAGAAATGACATTCAAAGGTTCCTAGACGTGTAGGACGGTATCCACGGAAGCAGGGAAGGGCCGAAGCATGTACAATATTAATATCGTATACCTCGAAAGAGAATAGTTAGTGTTCAAAAAGTATCGAACCATAGATTTTACCGTGTAAACCAATGAAGCGCTGGAAACTTTCTTTGGTGGAGATGTGGAGGGGACATTCATGCGTCGTGAATTTTTGCATAGCGTAAGTTGCTGGCAGTCGGCCTACGTGTGAAGACGTGTATTTATTTATTTATTATCCCTCTCTTGTTCTGGGTCCTCAACAGGCTCGCGCCCAATTACAGAGTGACCCGCATAATGCTTTTTAGAGGTGCCTCTGCAGAAGGTGTTAAGTTGTTCTATACTACTCCGGTATTTACCTTACGAATTAGAAAAACTGCAGGAAAACCTAATTCGGAGTAGCCAGGAGAATGCTCGGAACTGGTTTAAGGTAATTCCCATCTCTGCCACAGGTGAAAAATTCACCTGAACTCAGGTTCGAACACCCGACCTCCGGATTTATAGCCGATCAACAATATTTCCGGATTTCAGTTTTCGTAAAGGACAGAAAAGCGACATTGTATCAATGCAATCGCTATCTTGGCGATACGCAAGTGGAAACCATTCGGAAAGTTCAACATGTTTTCAGGGACGATTCCCTAAACACCTCACGGATAAAGGAGTGGTACCACTGCTTCAAATATAGGCGCAAATCGGTGGACAGGGAACCACGTTCAGACAGACCCTCTACAAGCCGAAATGCATAATCGTCGTATCACAGTCCGGGGAATTGTAACGGAGATAGGGGTAAGCAAACTCGAGCACATGGATCCACGGGGGTCTGTTCTAGGTCCTATACAATGTGGAACGCGATGCACGACGGGGTGTTGAGGTCATCGGGTTTTCCGACGACCTCGCAGTTTACGGCGTATGATCGCAAGGTGGGGATGGCGTTGGTACTTACGTATGAAACGTACTGTCGGAGAAATAGCGAACTAGATGAATAACAGAGAGCTGACGGATAAAACCAGTGTCGCCATGATGACGTTGGCGGTAAGCGTAGACATATTGGACGAGGCAATCAGGGACGAGAGATCCATTACGATCTTGGGCGTGGTTATCGCCAGAAACTTGACATTTGTCGATCACGTCTGATATATTGTGGACAAAAAAAATAAATCAGCAGTGGTACTAAGTTGACTCCTGCCGAAGAGAGTGGCCTTTGCTTAATCTACTGGCGTCAATCATGATGTATGCGGCGGACATATGGGACATATGGGCTAGACAAGGAAGCTACTGCTAAACATATGGATAGGCTCCTGTATCTGATCGCCATAAGAATAGGTAGCGGCTACGTATTGCTGCAAGGGACGACGTTTTGTGACTGCCGGCATTGCACAAGCTAGGATCATGGTAGAAGCCAGAGCTACGAAAAAGAGTGGTCGTTGGGCATACGGCATGGAGACGAAAGTTGTGAATTATCGTGGATAGACATATTAAGATAGATATTTAGACGGATTTCAAATGGTGGAGTTCGTGCGAATTAAACGAAATCGGGGAAGTGGCTTGTGAATCGAGTGATATTTCGAGAAACAAGAAGGTATAAGTGTAGTCCTCGTGGAATCGGGTGTTGAGCACTTCGAGTTTGCGTCGTAGAAGGTTTGCCTCGTAGTAGCCAGCTGCATCGTTAATGAATTGAATTGTAGAAATTCATCATCATTTTAAGGAAATCACAAACTTGGTTCGCATTAATTACTCTTGTAGCATTTATTATAAACATTATTTATTTATAAATAATGTTATAATCGTAAGAAAATAAATGTAATAATAAAACAACGTATCAAGAACAAGAATTGACGTGTCGACATTTACACGGACAACGGACAAGTGCTACTACCACAGATATATATATAATACATAAAACAGTGTTGCCGCTATGAATGTTTTGTCATATTCTCAACACTTCCTCCCAAAACTTTTGTCACACCCTGTACCGGTAACACTCCTAACCTCATTCGCAAATCTTCAAATCTAGGACGTGGTAGTGCTTTTGTCAATATATCGGCAAGTTGATGCTCTCCTTCCACATGACGTACTGTGATTTCGCCGTCTTCGTATTTTTGTCTGATGAAATGGTATCTTATATCGACATGTTTCGTTCGTTTATGGAATTCCGGGTTTTTGACGAGTTTTACCGCACTGGCATTGTCGATTTGGAGGCACGGAACACCTTGCAGTTCTATAATCTCACTTAGTAGTTCCTTTAGCCACACGATTTCTTTAA